TGGTGATCAATGCAAAGAAATAGAGGAAAATGATAGAATGGGAAAGACTAGCGACCTCTTTAAGAAAATTAGAGATACCAAGGGAACATTTCATGCAAAGGCGGGCACAATAAAGGAAAGAAGTGGTAGGGACCTAACAGAAGTGAAAGATGCTAAGAGGTGGCAAGAATACACAGAAGAACTAAACAAAAAAGATCTTCATGACCCAAATAAGCACAATGCTGTGATCGCTAGAGCCAGACATCCTGGAATGTGAAGTGGGCCCTAGGAAGCATCACTATGAACAAAGCTAGTGGAGATGATGGAATTCCAGTTGAGCTATTTCAAATCCTAAAAGATGATGCTATGAAAGTGCTGCACTCAATATGCCAGCAAATTTGGAAAATTCAGCAGTGGTCACAGGACTGGAAAAGGTCAGTTTTCATTCCAATCCCTAAGAAAGGCAATGCAAAAGAATGTTCAAACTACTGCACAATTGCACTCATCTCAAACGCTAGCAAAATTCTACAAACCAGGCTTCAACAGTGCTTGAACCAAGAACTTGCAGATGTTCAAGCTGGTTTTAGAAAAGACAGAGGATCAAATTGCCAACATTTGCTGGATCATCAAAAAAGCAAGAGAGTTCCAGAAAAACATCTACTTCTGCCTTATTGACCAGGCCAAAGCCTTTGACTGTGTGGATCACAACTAACTGTGGAAAATTCTGAGAGACAGGAATACCAGGCCACCTGACCTGCCTCCTTAGAAATCTGTATGCAGGTCAAGAAGCAACAGTTACAACCAGACATGGAACAACAGATGGGTCCAAATTGGGAAAGGCTGTATATTGTCACTCTGTTTGTTTAATTTATATGCAAAGTACATCATACAAAATGCTGGGCTGGATGAAGCACAACCTGGAATCAAGATGGCTGGGAGAAATACCAATGACCTAAGATATGCAGATGACACCACCCTTATGACAGAAAGCAAAGAGGAACTAAAGAGCCTCTTGATGAAAGTGCAGGAAGAAAGTGAAAAAGCTGGCTAAAAATTCAACATTCAGAAAATAAAGATCCGGTCCCATCACTTCATGGCAAATAAATGGGGAAACAGTGGAAACAGTGAGAGACTTTATATTTTCTTGGGCTCCAAAATCACTGCAGATGGTGACTGCAGCCATGAAATTAAAAGATGCTTGCTCCTTGAAAGAAAAGCTATGACCAACCTAGACAGCATATTAAAAAGCAGACATTACTTTGCCGACCACAGTCCGTCTAGTCAAGGCTATGGTTTTTCCAGTAGTCATATGTGGATGTGAGTTGGACCATAAAGCTGAGCGCCAAAGAATTGATGTTTTTGAACTGTGGTGTTGGAGGAGACTCTTGAGAGTCCCTTGGACTGCAAGGAGATCCAACCAGTCCATCCTAAAGATCAGTCCTGGGTGTTCATTGGAAGGACTGATGCTGAAGCTGAAACTCCAATACTTTGGCCACCTGATGCAAAGAGCTGACTCATTTAAAAAGACCCTGATGCTGGGAAAGATTGAAGGCAGGAGAAGGGGACGACAGAGGATGAGATGATTAGATGGTATCACTGACTAAATGGACATGAGTTTGAGTAAGCTCCAGGAGCTGGTGATGGACAGGGAACCCTGGCATGCTGCAATCCATGGGGTCGCAAAGGGTCAGATAGAACTGAGCGACTGAACTGACCATTATCTTGAAATTAAGAAAAGACCCCTAAACTCAGAGCCAATGAAGAGTTCAAGCTCCTTGGTGTATACACAGAACCTCGTCTCATGAAGATAAATCCCATTCGCTTGCTCTTCTAGAATGACCTGACCACTCACCCCAGTTCCCAAACCCCTGAATCTGAATGGCTTGTGACTACCTTGAGAGAATAGTGTCAGAGAAGTCAGAAGGGATGAGGCAGCCTCTGCCCCAGGGTTGGGAGTCAGCAACCGAACAAGCAGCCCACCCACCTGCAGCTACCACCCACACTGGAGAGGCACAGACAGCTCCTCCAGCCATTGACCCAGCAGAGTGCCCAGCCGACAACTGCCAGCGCCAGTCACCCACCGTTCACAAGAGTGAGCCATCATGTTGGCCGACCCAATGGAACCTTCCCAAGATCACAGCCCCTGCTGACATCTGAATAAGACCAGAGGAGAACTGTGGAAGAACTGCCCAGCTAAGCCCTTCTTACGAGGTCCCGACTCACAAAATTACCAATAAAATGAAAGGATTGTTGTCAGCCAATTTGGGGGCATCATGTAGCAACAGTAACCAGGACATCAACACCCTTGGGGAAAGTGTCCATAATCAAATTATCCTGTCTGGGTATGTTTTTGAAATCTCTGACTTATGACAACTAGAAGCAAACAGTATACAAAACAAATACTTTCAAGCTCAGGAAGAGCTTAGATAATTTGCCAGTATGTTCACACAAAGGGGCTTCCCTGATAGCTCAGTTGGTAAAGAATCCACTTGCAATGAAGGAGACCCTGGTTCGATTCCTGGGTCAAGAAGATCTGCTGGAGAAGGGATAGGCTACCCACTCCAGTATTCTCACCTGGAGAACTCCACGGACTATATAGTCCATGGGGTCTCAAAGAGTCGGACGTGACTGAGCGACTTTCACTTCACTTCACGTTCACAGAAAGAGGTAAGAACAAGTCGCTGGAAGTGAAAGAGTGAGTAAATGAGACTGAAAAACTGATAGAACTGCAACAGAAACAAACATTCCTAGGAAAGAATGGTTTCTTTCCAAGATGTGGGAAATTTCTCAGGTAGAAGCAGTGCTCCTGGTTAAGCAAGTGTAATGTTTCATGACTAAAGCGATTTTGCTTCCCCCAAGCCTGCTGACCCTCTCCCAAATGCTTGTGTTTTTATTTTTACCTTTCCCCCTAACAAGCAGAGACGAGTCTAGTCTGGCAGGTGTGGGCAGGCTCTGGAGGGGATCTTCAGGGAGGTGAGGTGTGGTGAGGGAAGGAGACGAGCCACAGGTCAGCAGAGAGAGACCAAGGAGGATGGACGCTGAATCAACTTACCCTGTTTACCTTGACCTCTACGCTCTCCAACTAAAGAACCAGGCGGCACCTCAGAGCCTGCCAGAGAAAGCCATGGCTGCCTCCACATCCCGGGTACTCACGTGTCTGCAGCTTTTCCACGGTGTCAAGAACATGGCTTAGTAGAAAACTCACCTCAACAAGCGTGAGTACAAGTGAAGTACCCAGAGAGAATACCACCAGGTTTTATTTAAGGTCTTTTTTATTTTCCTCCACACTGGCAAAAGTTCCGAGGGAGCTTAAAGTTCTGTAAACATCTTAACTGTCCCTCTTCCCCACCCCCACTTGTGAATTTACAAAGCAAAGGAGAGCAGGAGTCTCAGTTTTTAATGGTTCCCCATCTCCTCGTGCTGTTTGATCCAAAAACTATATACAAGTTTGTAGCAGTCTCTGTATAGTTACTGTACATGTTTAGGAGGGAGGGCGGCCAAAAGGGATAGGGAGAATGCTGATCCAAAAGAATAAAAACAGAAACCAAATAGAATCATCCCAAACCAAACTGCTCTCAGAGCAACTCCAGCCTTCCTCGGGCCATGATGTCAGAAAGGAAAGGCGCTCGACCAGGAGCCGCCCGAACCACAGCACTTCTTGCACGGGGATGGATGGTCCGGTGGCTGCAGACCAAAGTGTGATTGGCAATTTCAGGTGATGCTCTGCTGGGGGTTGGCGGAGGCAGGAAGAGTATTCGCTTATAAATAGGGCTTGAATACATTTATATTTGCAGTGAAGGGGTATTAGGAGGCCACAACTGAAGCCAGAACCAGGCTTCTCTCTCTCATCCCCTCCATCCCACGGGAATCTCCTGTTTAGTGGTTTCCATGGATGAAGGTCTTAAAAGATGGTCAGGTTTTGCATGTTCTCTTTTCAGAAAAGGCAAGCCAGCAACTTGCCGTTCCAGAATCTTTAGACAAAACCTTTCGGGGCCACAGCAAGACACACAAGCAATGCTCTGAGGAACCAGATGAAATTCCGGGCTTTTATCAGAAGCAGAAGTTTATCCCTATCCAAAATGAAATTATACAAATTCATACATATGGTAAAGATCCTAACTGCCTCTTAAACGAGACAAATTTTCAGCAGAAAGGCCCAAAACAAACTGGTCCTAGTCCTCTGAAGTAAAAATATTTATGGGAAAAAATCCGTTTTTGTAAGAAAGAAAAATTAAAAATAAGTTCCTCTCCCAGGCCATAGGGCTTCCTTTGTCCAATCAGGTTGGAGTATGCCAGGGGAGAAGTCAGCTTGCTTGGAAGTCACTATCTAATGAAGAAAAAACAAGAATCCTTTCTCTGAAAGGATCCTCAGAAAGAACGAGGGTGAGGGGTGTGCAACATCAAACCGATCAATCTAAACACCACCCCACTCAGGGCCTCTTGAATGCAATCCCGAAGTTAGCTGTGCCAATGCCACCTGCAGACTGGAAGAGCTCTGACTGTCTCTGTCGGACGCTCAAGTCACAGTCCATGGGCGTTTTGTTGCTGGCCAATGTCTGTTACCATTAACTCTCTTCATGATTGCACCAGTCAGACCCCTTGCCCGTTTTGGGGGTGGGGTGGGGAAAAAGAAGAAAAAGAAAAATCAAACAGAAGGAAAAAAGTGACAAGAGAAAGTAAATTGCTATTGGCAGATCCCAACACACTTTCTGGGAGACAGGAGGTGAAATCACGGCACAGTAAACACGTGCTGCCCAAAATCAGCCTTGTTGGGGAGGAATCCCCACTGCCACCCCCGAGACACTGCGTCCAGTCCACTCATCTACAGTCTGAGATGCGCACCAACAAAAACGGTTTAAAGAATCTTGGACACAAAGGGCTAGAAGAAAAAGCCTGAGATGATCGGTTCTGTGATTTCTTGCAGTGACAGAGAGTATATGGTGAGTGAGTGTTGTGTCCGAAGCTGGAGAATCCATGGTCGGCAGAGAGGAGAGGAAAGGCCAGTCTGCTCTGGCAGGTGCTCAGTAGTCATCCAGAGTTTCGATCTCACCCATATTGAGTCGCTCTGAGGAAGCATTGACTGAAAACCCTGCAGGGAAAAATAAGCAATGAGTGACGGACCACACCCAGACAACCCTGTGGCTCAAACTCAGGCAGGGGGCTGGAATTGCGGTCTCCCGTTTTTGAGCACACCAACAGGGATACGAAAAGGAGGAGGAAGAAAGGATAAAGGTCAATGCAGTGGTTTTCTTGCCCTTCCAATGAGAGATTCTATTTTTATATGTTTTATTTCTTAAGATTCTGATATAATTTAATTAGGGAAGAAACACACACACCCCAGCATCGATTAGAACTGCAAACCACTGCCCTAGGGAGCCCTGAATCCAGGCCTGGGTGTGTGTGTGTGTCAAAGCCAGGCCTGGGTGTGTGTGTGTGTGTGTGTCAAAGCCAGGCCTGGGTGTGTGTGTGTGTGTGTGTGTGTGTGTGTGTGTGTGTCAAAGCCAGGCCTGGGTGTGTGTGTGTGTGTGTGTGTGTGTGTGTGTCAAAGCCAGGCCTGGGTGTGTGTGTGTGTGTGTGTGTGTGTGTGTCAAAGCCAGGCCACGCTGAATCCAGGCCTGTGTGTGTGTGTGTGTGTGTGTGTGTGTGTGTGTCAAAGCCAGGCCACGCTGAATCCAGGCCTGTGTGTGTGTGTGTGTGTGTGTGTGTGTGTGTGTGTGAGTCAAAGCCAGGCCACGCTGGCTAGGGGGAGAAGTTCATTCAGAAGGTGTAACTACCTTAGAAGAACGGGGCAGGGGGGGGGGACAAGAATAACACACTAAGTACTTTATAACCACTAGACCAAATGACTGAGATCTGAGTGAGAATCATCACTACTTCAGCCCCATTCACTAATTGGGAATACTCTGGGTCCAAAACACTGCCAAAGTTCTAGTTGAGAGGTTCTGCTTTGGGGTAGGAGGCTCCAAGGAAGGCTGGCTACAAGATCCTGAGAGCTCTCAGCTGCTCTTCCTATCACACAGAAGATGGCAGAGAAATGAAAAAACTCCCTTATTCACCTCAACCTACTGTAAATAGACCAGCAAAGGCAACGATCTCACTGAGCAACACTGATTAACCAAAATGCTACCTGGTTTAGAAAAAGCAATACTAGCAGAGCTGAGCTTACAAACACTACTGAGGTCTGAAAACCTAATGCCATCAGTCATGTGTAAGTTTTCAATAAACCTCACATAATCAGAGACTGATAAAAGGTACTATTAACAGGGCCTTTCTGGAATGAGTGAGTCTCAAAACGCTTTCAGTTCAACCACCCTAAATGAAACCCCAAACTGTCTCAGTTGCTGTTTGAGTATCAAAAAGTAAACAGGCGAAGCTCTCCAGTCTAAAAGCAGCTCTGTTAATATTACTTTGAGCTATTGCCCCCTCCTTTTTGTCCTTTAACATTCAAGTTTTCAAACAAATACACACTTTAAATGTACTAATAATACACAAAAATGTCTTACATAATAAAAAGTTTAATTATATTACATTTTGACTCCAAAATACCCTGATTTGAAAACATAAACATGCCCATTTTTTAATCAAGGAAGCTGTGGTACGAGCTGCTTCCAAGGCCTCATACTGGAAGAGGTTAGGATTCCAAACCCCACCTGAGCTCTACCCCTCAACTGTGTTCCCATAACCTGCAGGACTTTTTTCCCATCAAAATAATGAAAGGCTTAGTGTGTTCGTACTTGAAAATAACAGAAAATAACAGGTAAACGAAAACCCTAAAGAACAAACAGTCTATGAAATGAACTATTACTTGGCTCTGAAGCAGGTTTTCCTTTGACTTCACATGTATCTTGAAAACAAATGTGATAAAAACAAAATAAGTTGCATGTAATAAAAGCGGGGATGGAAAAAAAACACAAAATATTTTAGTCATGCAGACACAGGACTGGGAAAAGAAGCCTGGGGCCAAGAAACGGTGAAGTATCCACTGCTCTAACAGAATGATTACTGGACTGGCTTTAGCAGATGTGGTCTCATTTACTTGTCAAGAAAACCAGTGAGGAGAGCATGCTTCCCCACCTGACAGAAGCGGACGCTCTGGGGTGTCGTAAGACCCCAAGCAATATGAACAGGGACTGAGGCCCGGTATGCCCAGCTCCAACGGCCAAACTCTTAGGTTTAGAACAACAGACACTCACTCACATGACTTTAAGGTTTCTGGGACTGTTTCTATAAGAAAACTATGACTGGTGAAAAATGGTAATTTGTGTGTATATTTCTCATATCCAACCACAGGATGCTGGCTCACAATGGCACTTGCCAGCTTGAAAAACTAGAAAACCCAAGTACAGTGGAGGACAGGAGCATTAAGATGAGGCTGAGCTCGTTCTGAAGGTTTGTTTTAGAAGCGAAATGCAATTTTGATCAGTGATCACTTTCTCAACGGATATGATGGGGTAAAATTTGAATTTATTTTCCTATTATGTGCATGGGTAACTTGTGACTGATGTATATTTGTTAATTTTTCTTAATCTGCAAGTCAATAAGGCATATATCAATTAGAAACAATAATAAATGGTTAGTAGGTATGGGGCAGAAATTATCAGAGGAATTTCCAGAAGGTTTACTTGAGCAAAAATTCTCATTATAGGGTATATAAGCAAGAGCCCACCCAAGTGAGTTTCTTTAATATTTTCCGAATAGTTTTACTTCCCTTATATTTAATTTTTCTCATTCCTTTTCAAGATATATAATTCTTAAAACTGTAGTCCTAGAACGACCTCCCTCTCATTCCCCTGAAGGGGGATCTTAAGTCCCTTTCTTTCTTATGTCTATGATAAATAATGGGGTCAGATCAAATATTTAATCCAAAAACATTTACACCTCATTTTCAGAAGAACCTACCCCTACTGCCCTAGCCAAGTACCACTGTTAAATAGTGGGAGATTCTTAGCTAGAACTCACAACCAGAACTGAAAAACACTCTAAAGCCTACATTCATCTATTTCTGTCAAACCTGGACAAAATTTTGGACTGATCCATCCATCCTTAACATAACCTTCCAAGACAGGCAGAAGAAAACAAAACTGCGCCAGACCTCTAGGTTTCCAAAGCCCGCTTCCAGAGCACAGTTCCAAGGGGCGATGCTCAAAGCTAGGTTTGTCACTGGTATATTGATTTCTCTGGGGCAGGAAACCTCTGCAGCATGGATCCCAGCAAGGGCGAGCAGTCTACCTCTCATTGTGCTGTCAGCTCGCTCACCCCCGTATGATGCCTCCCTGTCACTTCACACTCGGTCCATCAACACTGAAACATCATGTCCTCTCCCCATAAGCCTGCTGCGCTTTCCAGTGCTCATCATTTGATCAAAAGGGCGACTCTTTCCATCCTGCTGCCCAAACCTTTCCTTTATCCTTGCCCAAGCCTATCCCCTAACTTTCCGAAATCCATCTAACTCCTCTCCATCTTCACTGCCAAAGCCCTACCCTAGGCTACCAGTATCTTTCACCTGGTCTATACTGCACCCTCCAGCAGGTTTGCCTGACTTCCCAACCTGACATCTTTGCCTATATAACCATTCTATTCCAGACAACACAGTTTTATAACAGCTCATGAATATATTTATGAACAGAGAATAATTTTAATTTTATCCTTGTTGGTGAAGTTGTTAGGACCAGTTTAAGAAACAAAGGCAGCCCATCAGCTTTGCCTATGCTGTTTGTTATTCCAGAAACACCATACCCTATCCTTCCTGCTTTTTCAAAGCCCCAATTCAGGTGTCACCTTTTCCGCAGAGCTGACCTGTATGACGACACCGGTCCCTAACACTGGGTAAGAACAGTCATGGGGAAAAAAAAGAACAGCTATGGGTGACACAGAAGAGTGAAGAGAAAACAGGCCCGCTCTGAGCGCCCAGCTGCACTGCTAACTGCTGAGTGACTCTGGGAAGCGTTCGGAATCCTGCAGGCCTTGGTTTACCACTGCTACCGCTGGAACACTGCCTCATGATGCAGGGTAATTCGGAGCATATTATACAGTGAATATCCACAAACATCAGTTCTTTTTTTAAGCATCTGCTTCGATTATGGTCTGCTTCCGTGCAAATCAGCATTTTACATTTTAAACAACATTTACTGTTCTCCATTAGCAATATTTTCCAACTAAACTGGAAGTTTTTTTAGGAAAATTCATGTTAGATATAAAAAGTCTTTAAAATATAAGACACCATACAATATATTGTTTCTTACTCCCTATAGTAGATGAGGCATAGCTCTTGCAGAGATGCCCAGTAAATACTATTTATTTTGAACTGGCTAAAAAAACTTTTGTAAGAAAAATTTCCCTTCATGAAAAACCCTCCACCATAGTACTTACATATACTCCACCCCCAATACCCAGCTAAGACTTCAGGCCTGTGCTCACCTAATAGACTAGGATCTGCTCGGACCATCTTCTGCTTTTTCTTCTTCTTGCCACTTTGTACAGCTTCAAAATTGGATTGTTGGTTGTTGGTCTGATTGGTCTGAAATACTGAATGGAGTGCACTGTGATTCATCCCCCACACAGAGTCCTGTAACACAAGATGGCACTGCTGAGATTACACAGTGGACACAAGCTTGGCCCACCCTCAGAAAATGGCTGACCTGGCCTCACCTTACCAAGAAGGAGTTTAAAGACAGAAAGCCTACCGTAGATTCTGGTAACAAGAAACTGGGAGCAGTCCACTGAGCCACCTTCTTCCCTTCACTGAGATTCAGGCAGCCCACTTAGGCTGTGTGTCTCCACAGGCCCATCCTGGGGACTCCAGGTGTCCACACTGCTGGGACAGCACAGCTGTCAAAACCTCTCCAGGGGCTTCCCTGGTGGCTCAGTGGTAAAGCATCCGCCTGCCAATACAAGGGTCATAGGTTCGATCCCTGATCTGGGAAGATCCCACCTGCTGTGGAAGGACTGAGCCTGTGCTCTGGAACCTGGGAGCCACAAGTGTTGAGCCTGCACACCCTAGAGCCTGTGCTCCACAATAGAAGCCGCTGCAATGAGAAAGCCTGTGCATCGCGATGGAGATGGGCCCTGCTCACAGCAACTAGAGAAGAGCCCACAACCCAGCACAGCAAAAAATGAAACAAAATTTAAAAAAAACCAAACAACTCTCCAGACATACATGGAATCTGTACCATCCACCAGGAATTTGCTCTCTGGCAATTTACACCCCTCACCCACTCAAAGTGGAAGGTTCCTTTATTCTCCAGGCCCCAGGACAGAGAAGAGAGCCTACAGACCGGCCGACAGCCCATCACCAAACAATGTTCATGTCATATACTTTATTCCCATCAGCAATCCCAGAAGGGATCTGTTCCCAAAATATTATTCACATACTTTATACCAACTGGTTAAACTATGAAACGGTCTACCAGCCATTCATACTACATGCTGCTCTTATGAGAGCAACTCATTTTAAACTGGGATCAGGCTCCCGAGCTAGGTGACGGAATGGGGGTGGGGGGTGGCGTGCAGAGTGGAACGAGCACGGGGGGGTAGGACAAGCCTGGCTGTGCACACAGAAGCGGCCCTCTCACCAACGCAGAGACTTCTGCACTGCTGCATGGTGTCTTCTGATTCCTTAAAATATTTTTCCTGGGGCTGTTTGTGTTCACATATTTCATTTTCCTTCAGTTGATCCATTAGCCCCATCTATCCAAACGGATTTTAAATGCCCTATACTTCTCTGTACCTACACATTCCTAAAGGTGCGCTATGACAAACATTCTAGTAGAAGAACTATGAGATTAAAAATATTCTTAAGCCTGTCCGTGAGTCAGACAGACTGTTTTTCAGAAAACTTGTAAAGACAATCCTTATCAGTCATGGATTCCATTACCTGTGAATTTGCTTACTTATAGTGTTTCTGTCCTCATTTGAATATGCATGTCTACAAAGCAATGAAAAACTGAGCTGCCCAAGATACACGTTCCCAGTTGAGGCAGAACTGGGCAATACTTGCTGCCTTCTTGTCCCAGCTCTCATACTGCAAAGGAGCATCTTTCTCGGTCTATTTTGGGTCATGTTTTTTACATTGCTGTTGGTGATTTCATTGTTTAAAATGGCTCCCAAGGGTCAAGTGCTGTCTAGTGTTTCTAAAGGGACCAAAGAATGTGATGTGCCTCAGAAAATGTGTGTGTTAGGTAAGCTTTATTCAGGCACACATCATAGTGACACTGGCTCTGAGTTCAGTATTAAGGAAGCAGCAATGTATTTAAATAAGGTATTCTTAAACAGAAACACACACAGAACAAGGTTATCAGTATTAACAGTTATCAGCTGACAAAAATGCTGTAACACAGGTCCACAGAAACCTAACCCCGCTAGGAGCAATGGTTCAGCATTTGCTAATTCTGTGTTGGCAGCAAGTTCACAGAACAGAACTCCCAAGAATAACAAGAACTGATTATACCTTTACATTCGCATCAACAATGTATAAGATATTTGGCAGGTACAGTATTGTCAATACTGGGAACAAATGATCTGAAGCTTCAGAGAGTTAACATTGGTGAGTTTTAACTATTAAAACCAAATTTATGCGCCTATGACAAGCTGGCATTTGCAATTGGACAGAGGCACTTATATGAACCAAGAAAAATGGGGCTGGCATGCTTATCAGTGAATGAATGGTTATATACTTGCTATTTGGGAAATTCACAAAGGTCTCAGGACATGTAACTTGAAAACGTCAAGTCTACCTGGTTTTAAAAGGTTCCAGTCATGTGATGTACAAAAATAGTAGTAGTATTTTTAAATTTTCATTTCTCTGGCTGCTCCACTTTTAGGACACTAACACTGACCAGGGCATCACATTCTGCGGCCTCATACCTGCTGCTGCTGCTGCTGCTGCTGCTGCTGCTGCTGCCGCTGGTTGGCTTTCTGTTTGGCACGGCGCTCAAGGAACTGCTTGGCAAACTCCTTGGCCTCAGAGGTATCTCCTAAATAGGCCCTAATGTAATCATGGACCTCATAAGGAGATTCTACTTCCTTCAGGAAAGAAACAAATGTGGGCACTGTATCACGAGAGGGGAGAAGACATAAAAAGTAACAATGAAATACCACACAGCAGAGATCAGGTTCAGTCTTCAATATACTTTAACACCTAACAGGGACATGAATGATGGAAACGGGAAAGGCATGCAGCTACTACGCTAAGTATTCTTTAACCTACTCTGTAGTCATGGGGGGGGAACCCCACTCTCATTCTAATGCCCCAAATCGTCTGAAATCTCACGGAGATGAAGATATCATGTGTTTGTTTCACTAAATGTTATTTTGGTAGAAACTAAGTTATGTTGATGGAAACAACTGCTTGCCTAAGACTAAAGTAATCTGGGGATTCCTTCCTTTTCTTCTTTAAATTCAGTCAATATGTTTTAAGTGCCATGGTGTATGCCAGGCACCATGACAGATACTGAAGATACAGCTGCAGCCTCCTTTCGCTTCACTGAGAACCTCTGTTTACACAGAAAAATTTGATATGAAGCAGTGTGGTGCAGGAGAAAAGTGCAAGTATCAGAGTTAGACAGACATGGGTTTAAAACTTGACTCTGAAATGTGCTCACTGTGTGACCTTGATGAGCTACTTAACCATCCTGAGCCTCTGTTTCCTAATTTATAAAATGGGGATAACATCACCGACATTGTAAAGGTAAGTTATGGCAAAAATTAAGATAACTAGGATAACACATATTAACCCCTAGAGAAAGTGCCTAGTACATGGTAGGTGCTTAATGGATGGTAGTCATTACTCTTTTTCACTCTTGCTTTCTCTGACTCGTTCTGACCATCAGCTATTATCACACTGCTGCAAAGGAACCCTTCAATTCTTTTCCTGCTCTGTTTTTTTTAAAGAAAAAGGTTTCTGGCTTTAGAAAAGACATCAGAGATGGACTAGCTCAGCAAAGCTCACAAGTTATGGGAATGCCGTCCACACCGAGCTGACTGGTCTTTGTTCGAACATTTGCGGGTGAGGGAGTACTCGCTTCCATCTCAGGCAGACACTTCTCTTTGTGAACAACCAACAAGCAGAAAGTTTTTCTTCAAATTGCACCAAAACCTTTTCATTTGCATATTACAGGCCTCAGCTTTATCCCATACAAAGCACGTCTACCTGCTCTGTCACGACTCCCACCCCTGCCCCCAAAAGCAGGAAGGGAACAATTCTCACGTCACCTCAGTCTTCTCTCATGTAGGCTGACCTATGTCCTCGGTGTAACAGTTACTCTCCTTTGTCCATCTGGCGATGCCCCCCATAAATGAGCAGGACGGAGCTGTCATCTCTGCCGCCCTGTCCGTCATAGGACAGCCTGCAACAGCAGCTACGTTTTGGTGTCCACTGGTAACCTAGTTCAGTATAGTGTTACAGTACTTTTCTCACAAGTGATGCTGTAAAAAGAGTCAAGTCCTTACAGTAGGTGCAGGACTTGACCTCCATCAGACTTCACCTCCTGAAGGCTGGCCCATCATTTCAATTTCCTAACTCTTTGCAGGGCCTGCTCTGTCATTCCACATGCTGGGTTTCCCTCCCCAGTTCTTACCATCCAAGTTATTTGCCGTATTAAGGGCATGAAGCATCTGTTCACACCACTGGGTAAATCCATCTTGGGCTTTATTTACTCCCTGAAAGAGCTTCAGCAATTTTTCTTCTTCTTCTACTTTCTTATTCTGCCGGTTAGACACACCTACAGATTTACTAAAGCAAAACAATAGGGTGGTATTATATTCCCAGGAACTGTTACTATTATGATCATACTCTAACACCATACATAGATAATGTCTTGGCAACATTGGATGGCTGTCCAGCAATCCAATTCTTGGCTCCGAAAATGAAAACAAACAGACAAACAAACAAGCCCAAAAACAAAAAAGTGAAATACTGGGGTTGGGGGTGGGGGAGTTTACTCAATACCTATTAAAATCTAGCCTCGGTTAATACATTTTAGTTTGTGAATATAGGGCTTCTTTTCAGAGAAATTATTAAGTTCTTCTTATGTGTCCATCAGTAAGATTTTAAAATCTTGCTAAGCCTCAGTTTCCTCATCTGTAAAATGACACTAATACTTCTTTGGGTTATTAAAAAGAAGAAAAATATTATATGCAAAGGCCTAGAGCACAGTGCCTGGCAAAGACATGTTATTCAGTGTCCTATTCAATCACACATTAAGCCCTCAATTAATCGAGAAGAAATAGTCTGACAACACTACCATTTATTAAGTAGTTACTATGTGCCAGGCACTTTACTAACTTCTTCACATGTATTCACTTAACCTTTACAACCACACCCATGAAGTTGTTATTGTTATCTTCATTTTACAGATGAGGGAACTGAGGCTCAAAGAGGTTCCCTCCTGCCCAAGGTCACACAGCTAGTAAGTGCTAGTGCTGGGATTTGAGTTCATGATTTAACATTAAAACCCATGCTTGTTCAACAAAAGAAAGATGAATGTAAGATGTAACAAATTTATCATAAAAATAAAACATTTTAAGTGTTTATAATATTCTAACTTAAAATTTTAGAGAAAATGCTACACTCTCTTAGAGACTACCTAGGAGAAATATTCAACAGCAGTAACAAAAAACATTAAGTGGTTACCACATGACAGGCAACGGACTCCATGTCCAGCAACCAAAGGAGCCGCTAGTAATAATACCGATGTGTTTCCATAGGGAAGAAAAACAATCATCAAACTATCACCTCACAAGCCAGGAAATAGGTGAAAGTAAGTAAAAACTAAATAACTACCTTTCTCTGGCCACCCAGTATCATACTCCTCACATGCCCTTCCTCCCCCAATCCACCAAGGAACACAGGTCGATCGCTTTGAGCCCTACCTGAGACCGGCGTTTTTATTTTTGTTTGTTGAGTTCCTAGGTCCCACCTCTTTCACTGCATCATCCCAGAATCCCATGTTGGAGTTTTTAGTGTCAGCATTGCTCCAGATACTACTGACTAGGTCAGAGGCCCACTGGTTAGGGGGACCACTATTTATAGAGCCCCAAACAGAATTCCCAATGCTGGTGTGCAGGTTGGAATGCTGTTAAAGAAAGAGACACAAATAACTAGTTAACAATATGAAAAGGGCAAAAAGAGAGCCCACCGAAGTCAGAAGAGGTAACTTACACCGCCAGTCCACACGACTGCTCAGGAAGGTGCACCCACCGTATTATTCCGGGCTCTGTTTGGCTGCTGGTGTTGCTGCTGCTGCTGCTGCTTCTGCATCTGCCTGGCTTCTTCCTGCTGGATCTCCAGGAGAGACTTTGCGGTGCCGGCAGGTTTGCTGACGTTCCCCCAGCCCGAGAGCTTCTGCTGTTGCTGCTGCTGCTGCTGCTGGAGAGCTTTCATCAATTCCCTCTGCTGGCGCCTCTGCTGCAGGCACAACAGAAGCTACCTCAGGATTCCAGTTTTTAAAATAAAAGTTACAAGTGCCCAGTATACCAAATGGAATATAAACACACAGTGTGTATGCTGAGATGCTTCAGCTGTGTCTGACTCTGTGACCCCATGGACTGTACCCATCAGGCTCCGCTGTCCATGGGATTCTCTAGGCAAGAATACTGGAGTGCATCGCCATGCCCTCCTCCAGGGCGTCCTGCCAACCCAGGGATCGAACCTTTGTCTCTCATGTCTCTTGTACTGGCAGGTGGGTTCTTTATCACTAATGCCACCTGGGAAGCAACTATATAAAATTAAACGCCTAACAGTTACCTCCTCTGCTGCAAATAAAGACGTAAACTGTCAGAAGCACTAAGAGAAGAATAAAAAGAAATTAAGAATTACTTCTTAAAAATTAAATAGGACTTCTATTTAAGCATAAAAATGTAATATGTTTATTTCCAAAGTCCTATCAAAATAAAAAAAATAATTTTTTTCTAAAATAAAAATTTTAAGGACAAAGAGAACGGAAAAGTTTTTAAAAGCTGGAAAGCAGGCAAATAAAGACAGCCAATACAACAGACCCAGTAAGTTGAAACCTAAGTAAAGAAAGCTCAGAAACAGGTCAATTCATACAGAAAGCTCCGGAATTACAGGCATAGGTATCTCAAACAAAGGAAGACAGGCTGAAAGTCTGTAAAAAGCAACATTAAGACCCTGAATTACCCTCCCCACCCAACGCAGTTGGCAGCTTTCCCTCACCTCTCTCCAGCAGAAAATGAAAACTTTCCTTTTTAAAGAGGCTGAACCAGCTAAGTGGATTATTCTATAGGAAAGCTGACCTACCACAAGAGAATACACCCACAGATACCAACAGATGGAGGGATTTGAACAGAAGAGGCCACTACAAACACCATCACAGCAAACCCCAGCAAGGTGTCACATGTACCAGAGCCTCCCAACAGCCCCTCAGTGCCTCATTCCTAAATAAGAACAAACAGCCCAGGATCCAGACACCTGACACAGCTTGTAAGATAAAAGCCAAAGCCCAAATCAAACAAGCAAAATTCTGCTGTAACAGAAACGAGACAAGGGGAAATAGAAGCGATGAGTAAGTGTTACTCTTAGAGGTAAGATGTTGTATTCAGTAAAACAAGAGTAAGAGACTATAAACACAAATACTTAAGAGGGAACAATACATGGACTCAGAACTTGAAGACAGCATACATTAAAAGTTCAATAGAAGGACTAAAAGAAAAGATACCGTGTGATCCCATGGACTGTAGCCCACCAGGCTTCTCTGTCTATGGGATTCTCCCAAGCAAGAATACTAGAGGCGGCTGACACTTCCTCCTTCAGGGGATCTTCCCAACCCAGGGACTGAACCCTTGTCCCTTACATCTCCTGCATTGGCAGGTGGATTCTTTACCACTAACGCCACCTGGGACAATATGCAGATGACAAAATTTTGAGAAACAGCACATGTGTGCGGCAAGCCAAGCACGATCAGATCTGAACAAGTTAGAGGGTCCTGGAAAGGACACCTCCAGGGAAAGAATGAAATAGAACTGTCGGATACGATCTGCTGGGTGGCACTTTATACATTTTGAAGCATGCACAGACTTAACTGTTCAAAGAAAATCAAATGGAAATACAAGGCAATTATTAACTTCTAACAGACAAAAATATGAACAAGAAAAAACCTGTGATTCCAACTCTGATGACCATTATTATTATTTTTTCATTTTGCAGAGACCGAAATTACTGGAACAATTTCTAGCCTTGGAGGCGGAAGCTACACTCTGCTCTGCATCCAGCTGTTAATGTTTTAGAAAAGACAGATGATTTCAGAGAAAGCTCAGCCTTTTTTCTTTCGAAAGAGGGTAGGAAATATGGTAAATTTTAAGGCGAACAAAGCTTTTAACCTACTGGGTGATGTCATGCACACTACACGGTGAACATGCACAGACAATTTTCACAGCCTTTAGTGAACCACACCACCCAGATCCAGAATGACAGCTTGCATTCTCGAACAAATTGACTGCTCTGCCTCAAATCATACCCACGTACAGTACTTCCTTTAAGATTCAGTTACCTCATGCCACCTTCTCAGAGAGGCCTTCCCAGTCAGTACTATCTAAAACTAGACAGTCAATTGCTACCCACCACCAATACTATTCCCAACTCCCAACCTTCTCCCTATGCCCCTTCCCACTTTAGTTTTCTTTCTGATAGATACTGCCTTCTAGAACTCCATATGTCTTTTCTTGTCCTTGTTCCCTCAACTAAAGGTAAGCTTTATGGAGGGAGAGACTTCTGTCTGTTTTAGATTCAACTATATCCCCATGAGCAGCAAATACACGATGGACGGATGGAACTCAGCTAGTGGTATGCTGAGCCAAACCATTTCACTTACTCATTTTTTCCTTTCTGTCAAGAACTATGTTCTACCACCCCCAATCCCTTTCTCTTTTGTATCCTCTCTATTCTAATGAGGAACTACAGGATACAGATGAACAAACAGAGAGACTGTATTTCTGTCATATTTTAAGGTTTTATAGGCTAGTCAGAACTCAGTACCCTTTAGAGAAAAAAATTTCTGCATTGTAAGCATTAAATTTATAAGAGGCTATCTGCACAAAACTCACCCCTAATTCTGAAACACCCATGTAACTTTTATTTCTGAGCTATTCTCTCAAGAGCTATGGTAAAATGTTTAAGGTAATCGAACATTTTTGTACCCAATCTTAATGTTACTTCTGTTAGATCCTTCATATTTGCTAGTGACCATCGTATAGGCTAAAGAGCTGAAAAATATCTAACTCAGATACACAGCAACTCTGACAACAATATTTATCTTTAGTAGCCACTAATCCAGAATGCACACTGGCTATTCTGAATCACCGATTGTCTAGATCACTTTTAAAATTTACCTCCTCTCGAAGCTGCCGTTCTCGTTCCTCTTCTAGTTTTTGGATTTCAGCCAATGATAGTGTTGCCTGAGACTGACATGCTGTCGTGTTGGACTGCTGGCCCCATGTTGAAGAAGAGGGAAGCTAGCAAAAAAAGAAGGCAGAAGAGTTCATGAGGACACACAGATAGGAAACAGAGGGCAATAATGCACTGTGTACAGCCAGAACATTCATGCTTCCCTCAATTCCATTTATAACAGTCAATTCAAATTTCCTTCTTTGATTCTTTTACATGACTATTCTATCAATTAGTTTTGCTTCTTTTACTTAATTTTCTTTTGTCACAAGATAATTTTAAAACAACTTAAAACATATCAATATTATTGCTGTTTGTCTCTTAAGTGGTGTCCGACTATCTTGCAACCCCACAGACTGTAGCCCACCAGGCTTCTGCATGGGATTCCCCAGGCAAGAATACTGGAGTGGGTTGCCACATCCTCTTCCAGGGTTTTTTCCTGACCCAGGGATTGAGACCGCATCTCCTGCACTGTCAGGCAAGTTCTTTACCACTGAGCCACCAGGGAAGCCCAAAATACATCAATACACTTTTATTTGATTTACTCTTATGAAACTGCAAATTTGTTATACCTGTCACTGATATACAGCCATAAACAGAGAGAATGAAACAAAAGAATCACTAAGTTTTTAATCCAAGGAGGTAATAAGGACATGATACCCTGTTTTCCAGTGAAAGGGTTAAGAACAAGATTTCTGAAAGGAAAGCTGAGGTGGGCAGCTAACGCCAGGCAGTTTTCAATCAGTCTTTCACAAAAGGGAATTAACCAGGCTGTGGCTTCTAGTCATGAGCACTAAATTGGTTTTAATCGATTATTCTGTTTTTCCTAGCCCTTAAAATTATTGACTAAAATAAAAAAAAATTATTGACTAAAATAAAGTGTAAACATGAATCCTATATACTTTAGTGTTTTCAAAAGTTTGATTATTTCTAAGGGAATCCCTTGGTCTTTCTGAGCCAGAAAAAGATTCACTCAATTTTCACACATCTTCTGGCTCTTAAAAACAAAACCAAATCTAAACCAGATAATAAAAACAGTACGTGTGTGTGGATCAAAACAAAATGCCAAAATAGAAAGCTTCTTCAGTAGGAATCTCTAAAATTGGAACTGATGGGATAAGGATCTGCTGCTGCTGCTGCTAAGTCACCTCAGTCGTGTCCGACTCTGTGCGACCCCACAGACATCAGCCCACCAGGCTCTGGGATTCTCCAGACAAGAACACTGGAGTGGGTTGCCATTTCCTTCTCCAATGCATGAAAGTGAAAAGTGAGAGTGAAGTCGTTCAGGGATAACGATAAAAGCAGGTTAAATTGTCACTGATGTTACCAGAACCAAACGAGTGCCCTCAACACTATTGAACATCCTCAACATAATGAGCAACCCTCAACATTTTCTGCCCAGTGGTGGGTAGTATGAGCACTTCTCTTATATGCACCTTTGCTCCGGGAGGAGAGGGTACAGAAGGGAGCTAAGAGAGAAAGATGGGGGTACCAAAGTAGGAAAAGTGGGGCACAAATGAACTCTTCCTCTCCATAGGAAATGATACATTTGGAAAGTCCTATCAAACCTGCAGCATCACTCGGAAGACCCATAAAAAGAGATGCCCTGGCCCCCATGTTCAATGAACAGCCAAAGGTAAAGTCAGAGAATTTGCATATTTCTGTAATTCTGATGCAACCAACCAGCAACTGCTGTTGCCGTCTAAAATCCCAGTGGCTATGCCGCCCAGCCGTACCAAGGGACCACCTGCCAGTCCTCTGCAGCAGAAGCTCAGCCAGCACCAAGATCAGATTCACTGCCTCCTGAAGTGGCCTGTTCCCCTTACAGGCACCTCTGAGATCCTCCCTTATTTGTGCCAAAATACACTTCACTGTACTTTCTGCTCGTGATTCACGAGTCTGTTCTCTGGAGCAATGCAGAACAAATCTAAGGCTCCTTCACATGACAGATCTCTATCATTCCCCTGAAGTCTTATTTGTCCGTAAGAAATACTATCCCATCACTCCATCAACACTGCCTCAGGGCATTTTCCAGTTCAACCAACATCCTGTACTGCCCAGAGAAGTGAAGGTTGTCAATCACGTTTTTCAGAACAACTCTCTCCCAAATGAGAAGTAAACAGTAGGGAATCTGGAACATTTTCGGACCCCCGAATGTCCTTCACTGATATTTAAAAATCTACATTTTCCCCCTGCTCTGATACTGCTACCTTACTTTTTCAACACCATTTTTAAGTAACATTTTTTAAAGAAGTATTAAGAACAATCCTTAAGAAAACAGAGAGTCTGTAGGACTTGTGCCTTGACCTACTCTCTCCCAACCCTCAGCTCAGCCAGCACTTCAGAGGAGGGAGTGGGAGCCAAGAACACAGGCCTCCCTCTCTCCCCTCGGCTGCCAGACAGAGGGCTGGCTTCCCGGAAAGAGCGCAGTATTAGCAATTCTCATTCTGGCTCCAGCTACCTGTTGCAAAGGCTAAGTTAGAGACAAGCACTGCTGAGAGATGGGAGCTCACTTCTTATATCTAGCTTCCACTTATGGAATGGAAACTACATAGAGCTACTGAGTTTGCTGTTGTTTAGCTGCCAAGTCATGTCTGACTCGTTTGCTACCCCATGGACTGCATGGTATTTCCCAGGCAAGAATACTGGAGTGGGTTGCCATTTCCTTCTCCAGGGGATCTTTCCGAGACAGGGATCGAACCCGGGTCTCCTGAGACCACTAGGGCCCTGACTGCCACTGCCCTACAGTTTGAAAGGCAGAGGTTCCACACCCCCAGGAGAGGTAAGCCAAGGAGACCTGAGGCTACTGTCCCTCCCCTAAGGGCTCAACTGAAAAAGCGGGTGCCACTGTTCCCAAAGCAATTCCCTCTTAGCTCAGTAGGTAAAGAGTCTGCCTGCAACAATTAAACAGAGACCCGGGTTTGATTCCTGGGTCGGAAAGATCCCCGGAGAAGGAAACAGCAACTACTCCAACCTTTCTGTCTGGAGGATCCCATGGACAGAGGAGCCTGGCGGGCTACAGTCCATGGGGTCACAAGAGTTGGACATGACAGGTGACCAAACCACCACCACCACTGTTCCCAGCTCCAGAGCTGTGACTCTCGAACTCTGGCCTTGAGGTTGAGGTAGGAGGAACAGACTGGAATAGGGAGAGCTCCAGATCTCTTCTCAAAGGAAACTGACTTCATCTGCAACAGAGTGTGGAGAATGAGGAGTTCAAGCCTAAGGGCACTTTTTTTTTTTAATTAGTTGGAGGCTAATTACTTTACAATATTGTAGTGGTTTTTGTCATACTTTGACATGAATTAGCCATGGATTTACATGTATTCCCCATCCCAATCCCCCCTCCCACCTCCCTCTCCACCCGATCCCTCTGGGTCTTCCCAGTGCACCAGGTCCGAGCACTTGTCTCATGCATCCAACCTGGGCTGGTGATCTGTTTCACCCAAGATAATATACATGTTTCGATGGTGTTCTCTTGAAACATCCCACCCTCGCCTTCTCCCACAGAGTCTAAGGGCACTTTCAAAATCAGTGGCTGTTGGGGTAAAAGGCACTTAGGGGGTAACTGGCAGATTCACTGGAGATACAGGCTAAACTGTAGGCTGCTTCTTGGTCTCAGCATTTGCAGATAACATGATATAAAAAAATCCTAATGAATTCACTAAGAAATTATTAATAAATTAGTCCAGCAAGATAGCAGCATATAAGCTCAGTATACAAAAATCAATCGCACATCTATACGCTTACAAAGAACAATCTGGAAATGAAATTTTGAAAATTTTGAACTTTGAAAATTTCATTTACGATGAAAGCAAGACAAGATACTTAAAAATAAATTTAACAAAAAAGTACAAAAACTATATTCTTAAAAACTATAAAACAGCGAAAAAAATTCAAGATCTAAATGAACATAAAAATATCTTATGTTTACAGATCAGAAGACTAACTATTGTTAAGATACCAAAACTCCTCAAACTGATCTAGAGTCAATGCAATTCCTATCAGAATCCCAGTTGGCTTCTTTACAGAAACTGACAAACTCATTCTAAAATCCATATGGGATTTAAAGAAACACAGAACAGCTAAAAAACTGTGAGAAAAAGGAACAAAGTGGGAGGACTCACTTTCTGATTTCAAACTTAAGGACAAAGCAATAGTAACGTTGATACAGTGTATTACTATTACTAGCACAGTGATCATACAGATCACCTGAATAGAATTCAGAGTGCAGAAGCGAATCCACATGTCCAATTTTTTAAGGAGAATGCTGCAGCCATTCAATGGACAAAATAATCTTTTCAACAAATGGTGCTAGGACAACCAGATAAATGACATGCAAAAGAATGAAGTCAAACCCTCACCTCACATAATTTAAAAAATTAACTCAAAATAGATTAGGGAGCTAAAACTACAAAGTCTTAGAAGGAAACATAGGATTCTGTAAAACTATGACCTCAGATTTAGTAATTCTTAGATATAACAAAAGCACAAGCAAGAGAAGAAAAAACAGATAATTCAGACTTCATCATAATGTAAAACTTTTGTGCAGTAAAGGATACTGTCAAGGAAGAGGGAAAAAAATAAATAAGAGAAAATATTTTTAAATCATGTAATATGGAACTCAAATATCTAAAACATATAAAGAACCCTTAAAAAACTCAGTAACAAAAAGAACCCAGTTTAAAAATAGGCAAAGGACCCACATAGATATTTCTCCAAAGAAGATTTACAAATTGTCAATAAACACATAAAGAGATACTCAACACCATCAGTCATCTGGGAAATTCAAACCAAAATCACTACAAGTTATCATTTCACACCTACTAGGATGGCTACAATCAAAAAGTCAGATAATACAGATGGATGAGGAAGAGAAGAAACTTGAACCCTCAACCACTGAACATAAAATGGTGCAGCCAATTCAGAAAACAATCTGGCAGTTCCTTAAACCATTAAAGACACTGGCATCATATGACCTAGCAATTCAAGTTCTAGATATTTGAAGCCTAGATAGGAACCTCACGGCTCACTCTCCAGAAACTTCATTCTGCTCTCACAAATCCCCTCCATTCTCCAAACTGGCTATTTGACCTTTATTTTTTTCTTTAAATTAAATTTTCACTCCCTTCATGACTCAGTTTGGAAGTTATCTTTTTTCAGCAAAGCTTCCCCAATGCCTCAGATGGGCAGTGGGTCTCACATATTAGTGAGCGTTAGAAGCCCTGGATTATTCAAACACAATTGTTGGGTTCCATTTCCGAGAGGTTCTCATTCAGTAAGTCTGGGTAGGACCCAAGAATGTGCCTGCCAGGCTGGATGAATTTCAAGTTGGAATCAAGATTGCTGGGATAACTATCAATAGCCTCAGATATGAGGTGTGGCTCACATGATAAAGAATCTGCCTATAATCCAGGAGACCCCAGTTCAATTCCAGGGTCAGGAAGATCCCCTAGAGAAGGGAATGGGTACCCACTCCAGTAGTCTTGTTTGGAGAATTCCATGGACGGAGGAGCCTGGGGGGCTACAGTCCATGGGGTTGCAAAGAGTCGGACACGACTGAGTGACCAACACTTTTCACCTTCAAATCTGGAGATGATATCACTTTAATGGCATAAAGTGAAGAGGAACTAAAGAGCTTCTTGATGAGTGTGAAAGAGGAGTAAAAAAGCTGGCTTAAAACTCAACATTCAAAATACTAAGATCATAGCATCCAGTCCCATCACTTCATGGCAAACAGATGGGGAAAAAGTAAGAAATAGAGACAGATTTTATTTTCTTGGGCTCCAAAATCACTGCAGACGGTGACTACACCCATGAAATTCAGACAGTTGCTCCTTAAAAAGAAAAGCTATGACAAACCAAACCTAGACTGCATATTAAAAAGCAGAGACATCACTTTGCTGACAAAGGTCCATATAGTCAAACGTGTGGTTTTTCCAGTAGTTGTGTACAGATGCTCAAGAGTTGGATCATAAAAAAGGCTGAACGCCAAAGAATTGATGCTTTTGAACTGTGGTGCTGGAGAGGACTCCTCAGAGTCCCTTGGACAGCAAGGAGATCAAACTAGTCAATCCTAAAGGAAACCAACCATGAACATTCATTGGAAGGACTGATGCTGAAGCTGAAGCTCCAATACTTTGGCCACCTGATGCGAAGTGGTGACTCACTGGAAAAGACTCTGATGCTGGGAAAGACTGAGGGCAGGAGGAGGTGGAGGTGACAGAAGATGAGACAGTTAAAAGGCATCATCAACTCAATGGACATGAGTTTAATCAAACTGTGGGAGATAGTGAAGGACAGAGAAGCCTGGTATGCTGCAGTCCATGGGGTCACAGAATCAGACACAATTCAGCAACTGAACAGCATCAACAAATTCCCAGTTGATCACACCCCAAGAACTACTGCTTCGTGCTCCCTCTCTCACTATACCTACCCCACTGTATTCCAATTTTCTGTCTATGTCTTTATCCTATGAGCTCCTTGAAGATAGGGGATACTAAGCCTCACGACCAGCCATATACTCCATAGAAGTTTTGTAGACCCTACCATAAATCTGCTCCTCCCTCTCCAATTACTCCTATTTCATCAACAGTTCCACTACTCTCCCAGTCATGGAAGGCCTACTATCTAAGAGCCATTCCAACTTCTGCCCTCACCCCTCAGATTCAGAGCATCACTAAGTCTTGCTTATTAATGTTAGCCAGGTCTCATCTTGGCCCTATTCATTCTCACTACCACCATCACACTCTCTTTACTGGCTTCCCAGTCTTACTTTCTGCTATTTCAAATAAGGCTTTGAATCCTCCTAAAACAACACTTTGCATACATCACCTCAATCTACCTTTCAATAACCCCCACAGTCAGCTATATTTCAAGCCCTGTATGATGGTTCCTACTTACACACCCAAATGTTTGAGTTTCCTGCACTCATGAGTCTATGGGCTCTTTGAGGACAGTCGCCTTGTCTCATTTATCCTTGCCTTAGCACTGCTGAACTGACAGAGTAGGCACACCAATGTTTAAATTTATGAACCATCCAGATCTACTTGGTTTTTGCCTATGTTGCTGCTCATGTCCTAGACTCTTTTACTTAGTCTTCCCTTCTTTAAATGTCTAACACAAAGTACAATGCATCTTGTTATATTTTGCTGATCAAAAAATGGGAAGTGGCAGTATTTAACATAAAGAACAGTTTATGCTTCCACACCGCCAGCATCCACCCAACCACCAATGCGGGCAAGCAGCTCCTCCAGCCGGTGGACTGTCCAGCGCCCGGCTGTACCTTCATCTGCGCCAGCTGCTGCTGCTGCTGCTGCTGCTGCAGCCTCCGGAGAGCCTCCTGCTGCTGCTGCCGCTGGCGCAGCAGCTCCTTCTGCCGCTGGAGCTCCAGCTCCTTCCGCTTGCGCTCCTCCTCCTCGTGCCGCAGCCTGGCTGCCTCCTCTTCCATGCGCAGCCGGCTCTCCTCTAACCTGCGCTGGGCTTCCTCTTCTTCCCGGGCCCATTTCGCAGCCTCCTCTTCCTTCCCAGAAGGAAAAGAAAACAATAAAACTTAATTATGTTTTGAAACAAATCTGAGTCACTTTTCAAGGCTTTGGTCAGAGGTGTGTTTACCGGATAACATCATGTTTCATTTATTTGCTAATTTCTACATAAAAGGAACATCACTTTGGACATCTGTGGTAATACTGATCTCTAAGAGATTGCCACAACCTCAGGCAAGAACCCTTGAACCTGCTCCAACCCTGAGGCAGAGTCAGCTTGTCAGGACGCTGGGTGCAGAGAGCTGCCAGGACCTGCAAGGAAACTGACTATCAGGAAAGCCTCAGATAGTGCCAGACCCAAAGCGACTTTACAAGACCACTTAACTCCATCCGAGGGTCTCACCCCTGGTGGCTCACAGGCCCCTGGGAGATCTCCCCTTCACACATCCTCTATCCCTCTACTACTTTCGGTAGTACCCTGGATCATTTTCTTCCTGCTTCTCTCCCTCAAAACCATTCCATGTGCCCCCTGAAGTTCTCCTGGCCTTCCTCTGTGAAGGCTGGTTACAGCACTTGCAGTGCTCTATCTTATCCAGATAGCACATGCCCCTCCACTCTCCAGAACTCAGGGCAGACATCAGCTACTCTACGAGGACTTTCTTTGCCTTCAGAAGGTAGATGTCCCCTCTGTCTTTTGCTTACACTCAACTATACTTTGTCCTCCTCTCTCTGGATGCTCTTAGCCAACTGGTGACAGCAACCATTCTTAGCTATCCAGCACCCATTCCTTTCCATCGTCTTCTTTGCAGAGAGAGCCTCCTGTCACACTCAAGGTTTAAAATGCCAAGCTTTGCTTTTTAAGCTTCCAGTGTAAACTGAGACACCCATGTAATCTAATTTAGGCCAAAGGGCTGATTCTAGAAAAGATATTCTTCCCAGAGGAAAGGAAAAAAGCACGAGAGAAGGGCCACTCCCTTTCTGGGTACAGTATGGTATCCAACACTACTAACCATCAGGTAAAAAACATGAACTTAAAAGTCAACACACCAAGACCTGGTAGAGCAGAGTATGAACCGTGAGCGAAGACGTCAACACACCAGGACATGTCAGAGAAGCATGGGGAGCACCTGGAGTCTTAATGACACCACTGAGTCACTGAAGCTCATGTTTAGCTGCCTCATCTCCAGAACACCTTGATAGGTGAGGCAATAATGTTATCTGCTGTTTTAGCCTATTTTAGGTCAATATTTTGATTTTTCAGCTGAAAGATCTACAGTGTGGTATTTATTTCTTATAAAATCATTACCTACACAGTCTGTGAGCTTCTTGAGGGCAGAAACAATTTCTCAGCAAGTTTTGGACTTGAGCAGGAAACAATCACAGTAACTAGCATATGGTATATTAATGAATATATTAACTGTTGAATAAATAAACCAAATAATGCATTAACATACAATCTAACCTGGAAACTATCTACCTCTAAAGAATTTAGATTTCTCTAAAGAGTTTGAATCAAGAACTTAAGCAAAAGCAGGTGATCTCGTTTTGTGTCAATCTAACCTACATCCGTACTTGTGGACTGCTGCACGTGGTGACTTCCTTCCAAAGAACACAGTAAAGGGGAAAAGCATGGCGGAGAACCCGATAAGCACTACTGCAGCCAGGAGGCCAACACCACCATTAATAACCACGCATCGTGGTGCCAACACACACCCTTGGTATGTGATGGAAATGGTACTTTACTGCTGTGATCTTCTTCCCCAAACACCCCTAACACCAGTTTAATTGTGAGAAAAACTTCAAAAGAACTCTAATAGAGGGTTACCCTTCAATATACTGACCAGTACTCCTCAAAGTGGTTTAACTCAAAAAAAAAAAAAAATTCTGAGAAACTGTCATGGCTAAGAACAAGCTAAGGAGACATGGCAACTTAATGCAATATTCTGAATGAAATCCTAAAACAGAAAAGAGACATGAGGGCAAAACTGAAGAAATGTTAATAAACTACAGCCTTTAGTTAATAAAAATGCATCAATATTGATTTAGTAATGTGTCAGCATTGGTTTATCACAATTAATGTACCATACTAATGTAAACTAGTAATACAGCAAACTGTACTACCATCCCAATTTTTCTGAAAATCTAACACTGTTCTAAAAATAGAACCCACTAATAAAAAATCTATTACTGTTCTTAGACATTAAAGCAAAACGCTGCAGGGGTCCTGGCTGCACTGGGGTTAGTAACAGCACTGCTGTGATCTCATGGCTACACGAGGCAGCAGAGTACACGCTCTAATGGTGCGGACAGGGGAGAGCCCTAAGGAACAAGGCATCAACCTCCACGCCGCACGCTTGGTTTTTTAAGAGGAGCCCTTCTTCAATTCCTGTGGTGCTGTTTTTTGTTTGTTTTGATTCCTTGACATCTTGTTCAGCTTTTATAATTACACATGGGATGGCTATTACAAAAGTATTAAGAGCCACTCAGATCTCCTTTGGTAACTTTCAGCAACCTGAAAAAGCTTTATATGGGCTCTCCTAATATCCTAAGACTTTCTTAATCATTAATTCCTAGCTTCAAAGAAGAAATGAGGAGAATAAGCGCTCTGATCACCTGCTTGCGTAACAATTCTTCTTGCTTCCGCCTCTCCTCCTCTTCTCGCCTTCTCTCCTCCAGTCTCCTAAGAGCTTCTTCCTGCTGCTGTCTCTCTTCCTCTTCTCGCTGCCGCCTTAACGCGATTTCTTGCTCCCTCTGGCGTCGCAGAGCCTCTTCCTGAATTAAAAAGGGTATGTGTGAGTGTCTGCATATCCTTCTGTACGTCTCAACTAATATGTTATCAATACCTTATAATTTGAAAAGAAACAGGCTATGTGCTGCTAAGATTCTGTTAACAGCAAATATAAAAAGTATCTAACCAACGTCTAGAGTAGAAAGTGTTCAAGTGAGCTGGGGAATAGGCATATTAAGAGTCAAAATAATTTGTACTTAAAATATTGATCGTTAAACAGCACTGCATGTGTTAAGTCCACCCTGGTTTCAATGTTAGCACCATCATTTCCTGATTAAACCAGTAAGGACTCAAGCTTTTGTTTCTCTGTTGCTACCAATAGTCCTGATTTTTTTAATCAACTGAGAACCTAAGTCAGCAGCAAAAACACCTGGTGAGTAGAGAGAAGTTCTCCAGTCAGAAGGATGGAATAAAGCCACGTGTCGCAGAACATGTTTTCAAGAACTGAAGTCCTATGGATATTAAATATACAGAAAAGGGTCCCACTGTCAAAATAACTCAGGAAGAAATCCTAACAAACAGATGCCTTTACTGTAACACTTCTTAAAGTCATTACACACTAGTGTAGAGTGTGACTCTAAGAAATATTAGTCGTTCTAATCTAATCTCAGCACGGGCTTCCCTTGTGGCTCAACTGGTAAAGAATCCACCTGCAATGTGGCAGACCTGGGTTTGATCTGTGGATTGGGAAGATCCCCTGGAGAAAGGAAAGGCTACCCACTCCAGTATTTTGGCCTGGAGAATCCCATGGAGGACACGGATGCTTTTTGTTTTTCAGTTCTTATGGCAAAAAACAAGGAAATATGTAATAAAGGCTAGACACGCTGGGCTGTTAAGAGTCGATTCTTTCAAACGGGATCTTTAAAAATCCAAGGAGAAAATGGTCCAAGCACATAATAAAGAATTCCCCAAAATGAAATACAAACGGTTGCAAAACATGAAAAACTTTTAGTGTCACCGGTTATAAATACTTCAAGATTTCATTACTTCTCAAATCTAACTGGTTTATAAAACCCCATATGTGAAATCAATCAATTCTAATTATATACTAGAACTGACAAACATCCCTCCAGTAGCTGTTAATGGATAACAGACATTTCTACTGAAGGAAGTGAGTGTCCTAACATTCTAACCCCCGTCCTGCTGAGAACTCCCCAATGCCTTAGGGAAGTCCCCTCCAGGAGAACTAGGACCTGTGAGATGACGGGAGAGCAGGTATCCTGGAGGCCCTCCCTCTTTCAGCACTGATCCTTTGGGCAGAGTTCTCAGAGACACACCTGTTTCCTTCGGGCAAGCTCTTCTTCCTCACGCCTTTTCCTTTCTTCCTCCTGCTGTCTCCGAAGAATTTCCTCCTGTTGTCTCCGGAGTTCTTCTTGCCTCTTTCGCTCCTCCTCTTCCCGTTTCGCCCTCATTTCTGCCTCTCTCCTCTCCTGCTCCAGCTGAGATTACACAAGGGTACTCTTAGAAACTTGAAGCCAAACACAGGAACACTCCACATCACGACAAGTACTGTCAGGAGCTGGTCCATGCAGACACGACCATTCACTCAGTTACATGTGGAGCGACTGGGAAACGAGAGAGCTCTGAGCGCTCCGCACTCTGCGGTCACAGCAATCTCGGGGCTTCATGCTCTTCCCCCCTGAACGCTCTTCCCTCTACTCTCACCCACGCCTTCGCTCCACGCTGGCACTACACCCCACCTCCCACCTGTGGGGAGAGCAGCAGGCCTAACAGTAACACCAGAATGCTCTTGGCTTGGCGTTTCTTTGTTCATCCATACAAAGGATTTTCTGATTGAAGATCTAACAGTGTGTCTAACGAGGTTTCAATTGAAATGTCACAAAAGCTGCTAGTGTGATAAGTTACAGAACTCTAAAAATCTGAGGACCAACCACTTCACAAACTCCAGCCTGTAGAGCTCCCGAGTACTGGTCAAACCCAGCCCTGACACTCCAGTTCTACTGCCACATATACAACTCAGGCCTTGACTTTCTCATCCACATTCCTAAGCATCTATTACCTGGCTTCCCATCGTCCAGTTTTGCCCAGGGTCCCCAGCTCTACATCTGACTCTCCCAGGCTTACATTTAACACCATCCTTCACCTCGAAAAGAAATCCTAAGTCTTTAACGTGACACAGGGAAGTTATTAGCCTGCCTCATCTTCTTTAATCTCTCTCATCGTTTATTCTTCAGACACACCAGCTCCCGGCTAGACCAAATTATTTAACTGTTTCCTGTGCCAAGATATTCACATATACTCCTAGCCTTTACAGGTCTTGCTTCCTTCAACTGCAGTTTAATTTTCACTTCCTTTCACTGTCAACCCCAAATCCTGCAACTGAGCTAACTCCTACTATCCTTTAAGTGACTAGGTCAGGAATCACTGTCTATCCAAGTGTCATCCAATTCCTGGTCCCCACCTCCCCTACGAGGTAGCTGGCCCGTCTGCTTTCCTGTGCTCCTTGTCTGTGCCAGCATCCTCCCTATCCCTGACACACATGCGCACACAGACAAGAACGCAAGGTTTCATCAGCTACGTTCAAAGCACAAAGCATGGAAGGAACAAGAACAGACTCAAAAACTGTTGGAACTCTGGTCTGTCAACCTATGTGGAGACAGATCTTGACCAGGAACTCTTTTCATATTCTGGGCACTCTGAAGATACTGTCACTACCTCAGGGGATAAGAATGCACTAAATATAAAATAGGAACAAGATTCTCCTGGAGGCATGAGAACCCAGAAATCATTACAAGGACACCAGGCATTGACAGGCAACCTCTTCTGACAAGTATTAAAACCAAAATTCAAGATTGCTAGCTCCTCCAAAATATGCAAATGATAATGTTAACGCTGAGATTTTTAGCTGTGTGTCTTGGACTCTAGAGTGCAAATAACCACCACCATGAAGATTAAATGTGGGAACTCAAGCCTCAGATCAAGGGTCGAATAAGCAATGTAGTGGATATTTTCTTATGGTCTTATAGTAAGCAATTATCATGAACAGTGTTATATATGACCGTGATTGTTAATGTGTCAACAAACCCATATTGACTGATTTAATTTAAACTTGTTAGTTTTAACTGTTTTGAGGCTTTTTGGGGGAGAAGAAGGCACAATAAGGAGAGACTGTGAATGTGCTTATACCAGCTACAAAGCTGTGAATTTAAAGGAAAGATGTGTGAGCAGCTAGAGTGATACCGATAACAATAAGCAAATGTCTATGTCCTGCAGCTGGAAAGCAGGCACTGCTATGGAAGAATGAGTTGCCGACCTTTGCAGCTTTAGCCTTCTCCATCTGCTGAAGCTGTTCAAGGGCAGGTCCTGGAGTCGCGGGGTCAAGGGGAAGATCCCATACGCTACTACCTTCCCAAACTGGAAGACAGGAAGGAACAGAAGTGAGGGGTATGAGAGCTGACACATACGGCTAAATATCCAGAAGCATAAAGAAGCTGCTCTCCTATCCCAGAGCGAGCTTCATCACAAGTGTCTGCTTTGCTCCTAAATAGACTGAACTACCAGCGGGTTCTAGTTTATAACAATACTCATCAACCTATCCAGAAGGAAAGAGAGCACCAGGCAAAAAGATGAGAAAATGAGCTAACAGCAGCCTTTTCTATTTCCCAAATTTCTGGGTACCTACAGTGGTTAAGTTACACATCAATCCTTGACTCAAAAGCATAGGTCATCATTACTTATGTTTTTATTTATGTTTTTTCTCAAGTGATTAAAGACAATTTAAAAGACTTTTCTACAATGGGTTAGGACAATGTTAAAAAAAAAAAAAAGAGGAGGCTCAAGTTCAGAAAATGTATCTACTAAAGAATTTCCAGGAACTCCTTAACAGCTATTTTCAATCCTTTGCTGGGGTCTATTAAAAAAATAAAAATTTTCTTTAAAAACTACTTTTCATTAATATTCACTACAAAGCAGGTCCCAAAACTGATTAAAAAAAAAACTGAATTATCAAAGTTATTAGAAAGCTATATCCTTGGAGCTATACTAAAGGCCAATCTAAGTTTTTACCTGTAGGCTGTGAGGGTGCTGGCTGGAGTTCCCAGATAGAACCAGTATCTGGCACTGACACAGACCTAGTTACTGAGGGAATGATGTTCTGATCAGATATTCTGCAAAAGGGAAATTAGAAAATTAACAAAATTAACTCGTTGTCATTCAAGAAAACAGATAAAGAGGTATTTTCAGAGATTTGTAGGTTTTCAAGGTTAATTAGCCAAAAAACGTCACTGTTTTAACTACAATATAACACTACCAAAACATTTAGGAAAGAAAAAAGGATACAGGCAAAGTAATCACACTTCTGGACTCCTCAAGGTATTGGCAAATTTTGATTTCCAAATAATAAATATGCCTACTGTCTTTTAAAAATTCACAAAGAGTCGCAGAGGCAGCATTTCTTATGAAAAAAACTCACGGATCATAAGTCAAAAGGTGTGCATTTTAGTTCAGTCTCTGAAGTTTTCTGTGTATTATGTCAACTAAGTCCTTTAGCCACTCTGAGTCATAGTTTGCTCATCTTTAAAACTAAGACCTTAACATGATCTAACCTTCCTATCTCACAGAATGGGTTATGGCTCAAGGGAGAAATGTAAAAGGTTTTGGTTAAATTGGACAGTAAAGTTTTTAAGAGCAATGTAATGACTAACACCTTTGTGGGAGATAAAACAAATACTACCCTGAAAGATAATCTGAAACAGCAGGAACTTAAGACTTTTAGCATAGTTTCCATGTCTTTAGACTCTCTTTAATGGCTTTTGGGTCTGGAAAAGTATAACTCTGTGTGGCACCAAAATATCATTCTTGAAATATTACAGGTAAAAATGAGATTAAATTTCTCGACCACAAAGTTTTGTCTTGCTGAGTCCATGAGACTACACTGCTTTTCAAGTGTTCTTAGAATTCTTTGGTTATTATGCAAATTTTATCCTCTGAGTAAAAAGATCAAATAAATGCTCTATTTATTAGTTATTTTTTAAAACTATGTTCTTACACACAACACAAAGATATGTGTTTTGTGTGGGTATTTTGATACTAAACTTCACAGATTAAAAATTTCCTTCTCTCTTTCTTTAAAACACATACATATACACACACAATGTGACACATCACGCAAATAAGCACCAACCTCATCTTCAGTGCCTGGAACTGCTGGAGAAGAAGTGCCAACTGCTGCTGCTGCTGGGAAGACAGTGCTGCTTTCTGCTGCTGGGCCAGAACTTGTGCATACTGTTGTCTTCAAAAAGTAAAACATGGTATAACCTGTCTATCCACATTTAGTTCACTTTACAGAAACATTACAAGACAAAGTTCAGTCCCCACACCAACAAAATAAAATCCCATTAGAAATAGCTATCAAATATATTTTTACAATACTTCACAACAGTCACACAAACAATTCTATACATTATTCTAGAAAGAACAGATGACATGCTGCAGAGTGAAAACAAAAAAAAAAAATTTAAAGAAATGTCAAAAACTGGAAAACTCCCTTAAGATGTTAATTACCTTTTATCAGAAAATAAAACAGATTCAAGCTAACAGCTATTTCCACATGAAGAACTCTTTGCAAAAATAAAATCCCACTTGTATAAAAATACTCAAATTTATACGTTTCAGCTTGGAAAATTTTAGGTTAACATTTTTTTCACTAGAACAGAGGTGGACAATTTTTTCCGGTAAAGGGCTAGACAGTAAATATTTTTGCCTTTGCAGGCCATTCACAACTACTCAATTCTACCTCTGTAGTGCAAAAGCAGTCATAGATAATACACAAACAAATGGGTGTGACTCAGTTTCAATAAAACTGCTTAGGAAAACAGGTAGCCAGTCAGTCCGCCAACCTCTGCACCAGATGATAGCAAATCTTACTTCTTCCACCAAAGGGACTCACAATCTAAGTGACTCCATGCCACTACTAATAGCATAAACTTTTACTTCTTTCCTGCCTTCTCATCTGCTTTTTCTCTGTGGCAAAGCTGACCCATCCAGAAGGCAATCAATTCTTAAAATCATTGATTCTTGCTTTAGCAGCTAAATATCTTGCAAAATTATAGTTATGTGTCACCTTCTGCAAACTTCCAATATTTAAGAAAGCAGCTAAGACCAGACTGAGGATGTAGAGTGGCACTATGCCACTAGTTGGATGACGGAAGTATCCTACAAGCTTAGTCTTCAGCTGGAAAAGGTGAGATCTGGGAGCAGACTGCACCTGAAGGCCCTCCTGGTGCTGCAGCGCACCCTACCACATCACTGCCCTTACTGTATTAGGAACTGCTGATACTGGAGGTGCTGCATCTGGTACAAGGCTGTGAGCTCCTGCTGCCTGGTCAGTCGTTCCTGGTCCAGCTCTCCCTGGGAGTGAAGGGGTGGGGGAAAGAAATACCAGTAAATAAACTGAAAAGAGTCTAAAAGCCATTTAGTACTTACATTTGAAAGGAAAAGGACTCCTAGACCTCTTTTTGCCCCAAACACGTAACTATTAAAAAAAAAAAGTCAGGAACCTTTAGAAATGAAGCAGTGCCATCTAGTGGAAGAAGGTGGTGTTGGTGCTGGAAGAGATACCCTGAGGTGGGAAAGGGCCCCTATTTTATTTTAGCTTGTCTTCTCTCTTGCCCTTGAAGCTGAACATGGTTCTGTAATCCAGAGTTCATACTATAACTAAAATATAACAACCAGGGACCTTCCTGCTGGTCTAGTGGTTAAGACTCCGCGTTCCAAGGCAGGGGACCAAGGTTTGATCCCTGTCAGGGAACTAGATCCCACATGCCGCAACTGAAGATCCTGAGTGCCACAACTAAGACTGGGCACAGAAAAACAAATAATTTAAACAACAAAAAAAATCATTCTCCCAATCTTAAAAGTGTTTTATAAACTTGAATATTATGTAAAAATTAGAGAAGTAGGACAAAACAGAATGGAGTAAAAATAAATGCTATGGTAAGAATTTTACAGAAGCTCATAACAAATACAGGGAGCCAGTATATGTCATCTTAAAGAGGATGAGACATTTAAAATTAAGTGGAATATAAAAGAGCTTTCACAACTGTTTAACTCTCTATCCAAAAATTAGAGGTGTTTCTATTGCTTTTAATACATCACAAATTTAAAAATAAGGGGTAGTAAAAACTTTTTTTAGCTTATATATCAAATTACATGGCTGGAATTTAAATTTTGGAAGACAGAAGTGAGGGAAAAAATGAAAGGTGAAAGATAAGATAGCAGAAATAAAAGCATAAGGGTGACATAGACTAAAATTAGACAAATCATTAATGAACAGTTTATATCTTTATCGCACACTGATTACAGTTCAGAAAAACACATTTGATGTATGACTCCTTTGAGTGAGGTTCACCTGAAACTCAAGGACATTTTTCTTTCTCATTTAACTATTCATGGATAAAAGCTACAGTAGGTTAGTTGACAATTAAGGGCAAAAGCAATACTGGACAAGCAGCAGAACTTCCCACAGTCTTTCCCCTTAAGTGGGTAGGACTGAGGCTCATCCCCTATAACTGGAAGTCAGGAAATGGATTAGAGCTAGCATGCCAAGCTCCAAGTGGCTAGCTGTCAGCTCTCAAACATGCAAGATAAAAACGCACCCCAATTTCTGAGTAGATGGTAAAAGTACAATTTACATACAATAATATAACAATTTTTCTGGATTTACAACAGAAATGTCAGGGTAATTCCCTAGGACTCTTCACTGCTCTCCAAACTTATAGGAGGTCTCAACCCATCAGTGGACAGTGAAGTTAATTATCGGGTTAAGATAAACTTTTACATACTGGGGGAAAAAAGAACAAACAGAAAGAATATATGTACACGGCGCCAAATGTTTCATGGAACTTGCTTCAGATATATCTGCAAGTTAATGAATATATGAAGTAGTGAAAATCTTTTGTGTTTTTACTATCTGCTATGGTCAAAAAAATGTGATAGCCACTGTTCTCACTTATGAACTCTCTTGGCTACAGATGTTGCAAATGACTTACTGATCTTTATCTCTTAAGAACCTAACATAGCCCTGGCACAGATCCTCAATACATAATTGGTGAGTAAATCCATGGATCTTACTGTAGAAATCCAGTGTTCAGACTAAAGATTTCTGACTATGGTCACTTAAGACTATGGCTAGCAATCAGACACTCCAACCTGGAAAACGGAGAAGTGAGGCCCAGAGCCAAAGGAACTCAACAGGGAGAGGCCCAGGAGCATCTGCAAAAAAGACTTCCCCTTCAAAGGTCTCCAGTGTCAGCATACTAAAAGGGTTACATTATGATCCAATTTTTAGTTAAATATCAGGAACATATTTTAAAAGGGCTTCCCTGGGGGCTTAGATGAAAAAGAATCTGCCTAAAATGCAGGAGACTGGGGTTGGATCCCTGGGTTGGGAAGATCCCCTGCAGAAAGAAACAGCAAGCCATTCCACTATTCAACCCACTCTGTCCATGGAGAATCCCATGGACAGCAGAGCCTGGCGGGTTACAGTCCATGGGTCGTAAAGAGGCACGTATTTTTTAAAAAGGTAAATAAATGGAGAGAAGAATGGGCATTCTAACTAGAAGCAATGAGAAACTCTAAGTCAGTTGTATTGAAACACAGTAGATAAAGGTAAAAGCTCTGAAATGAATTTGGAAAGGTAAAGAGCCAAAACATGCATGAACTGGTAGGGAGGCCAAAACAAAATATTCTTCCTTGAACACATGCTATAAAGCTACTGGAGGATTGTATTTCTTTAGAATGAGTGTGGGGTATGTGTGAGTGTGGGTATATATATACCCACACACACGTATATATATGTGTGTATGTGTTGAGAGGAGGAGGAGGACAGGTGCGTGTGTGTGTATGTTGAGAAAGAGACAAAGAAGAGGAGGACAGGCACAGACATCTGAGTTTTAAAAGATCATTATAGCTACATACGTAGTCTGGGTCAGACTTCCCACTGTCATCTGATCAATTACTTTCAAGAACTACAGTTTCTTCTTCATGAGATGTAACATCTAGAGCAAGTGCTTCTGGGGCTACTGTGTTCTGAGTGAGGCATAAGTTACTTACCATATGCGGAGGGGGAGCTGGTCCGGGAGAGAAAGGAACCCTTCCCCACATTTTCATGATATCACCAAGAGGCTGGAAGCTTTCATCACATGCTCTCTTCACCAACAAAGACATAGTGAAATAGCCCGCCTGAAACCATTCTGCCATCTCCTGATTATTGAAGGGACCTACAATAACAATTATTAAACAGAAGGGCAATAAAAATCCTTTCAAGCTAAAAAGAAAAAAAACATTTCCTGGGTCTGATCCTTACCCAGATAAAGGTAACAACTTGTTTTAGATGGCTCCTGATCTTAATTTATCACAAAAAGTGGTGAACAGACTTCAAACTAATAAAATACTACAGAAACAACTTAGAAATAAGCCTTATGTATACACATCCTAATTTCTGCACTGTTTTAACTATTTTAAAAAGCCTAATTGTCTCCAACTCGCTCAGTCTCTTAGAGCTCAGAAGCTCATCTAAGCTCAAATGAGCTCAGAAGCTCATTTCAGAAAAGCAATCACACTGAAAAGAGTGAGTATTTGTTAGACCTGGTATCACACAGGCACAGAGAACATAAATATGCATGGCAGAATATGCTCTTCTCCAATTTTCATTTCCTGTCAGAGCTTGTTGGAAGTTAGGCAAACTATTAAACAATAATAAATTAAGAAAGATGACCAATTTTTTATTATTTATCTAAGGTAAGACTAATTCAGGCCTTGGGAAGGGGAAAAAACTAACATTTTCTGGATCTTTTACAATAAGAAATAATTAAATATTTTATACATAAAATTAATGAATATTCTCTGATCAATAACTAGTGATTCAGGAAGTATTTGTTGCTACTGTTCAGTTGCCAAGTTGTGTCCACTCTTTGCGAGCCTGTGGACTGCAGCACGCCAGGGTTTCCTGTCCTTCACTATCTCCCTGGGTTTGATCAATTTCATGTCCAGTGAGTCGGTGATGCTACCTGTCTCATCCTCTGCTGCCCCCTTCTCCTGCCTTCAATCGTTCCCAGCATCAGGGTCTTTTCCAATGAGTTGGTTCTTCACATCAGGTGGCCAAAGTATTGGAGCTTCAGCATCAGTCCTTCCAATGAATATTCAGTGTTGATTTCCTTTAGGACTGACTGGTTTGATCTCTTTGCTATCCCAGGGATCTCAAGAGGTTTCTCCAACACCGCAATTCAAAAACAGCATTCTTCAGTGCTCGGCCTTCTTTATGGTCCAACTCTCACATCTGTACAAGACTTCTGGAAAAACCAGTTTTGACTATATAGACCTTTGTCAGCAAAGTGATGTCTCTGCTTTTTAATACGCTGTGTAGGTTTGTCTTAACTTTCCTTCCAAGGAGCAGCAACTTATAATTTCATGGATGCAGTTACCATCCACAGTGATTTTGGAGCCCAAGAAAAGAAATCTGTCACTGCTTCCCACCTTTTCTCCTTCTATTTGCCATGAAGTGATGGGACCAGATACCATGATCTTTGTTTTTTGAATGTTGAGTTTTAAGCCAGCTTTTTCACTCTCCTCTTTCACCTTCATCAAGAGGCTCTTTAGTTCCTTCTTTACATTCTACCATTAGAGTGGTATCATCTGCCTATCTGAGGTTGTTATTTCTCCCAACAATCTTGACTAGAGCTTGTGAGTCATCCAGCCTGGCAGGGATGTACTTTGCAAAGAAGTTAAATAAACAGGGTGACAATATACAGCCTTCTTGCACTCTTTTCCCAATTTTGAATCAATCTGCTGTTCCATATAAGGTTCTAACTGTTGCTTCTTGGCTTGCATGCAGGTTTCTCAGGAGACAGGTAAGGTGGTCTGGTATTCCCATCTCTTCTAAGAATTTCCCAGTTTTCTGTGATCCACACAAAGGTTCTAGCATAGTCAGTGAGCAGACGTAGATGTTTTTCTGGAATTTCCTTGCTTTCTCTATAATCCAATGAATGCTGACAATTTGATCTCTGGATCCTCTGCCTTTTCTAAGCCCAGCTCATACATCTGAAAGTTCTTAGTTCACATACTGCTGAATCATAGCTTGAAGAATTTTGAGCATAACCTTACTAGCATGCAAAATGAGTGCAACTGTACAGTAGTTTGAACATTCTTTGGCCTTGCCTTTCTTTGGGATTAGAATGGAAAACTCACGTTTTCCAGTCCTGTGGCCACTGCTGAGTTTTCCAAATTTGCTGGCATATTGAATGCAGCACATTAATCATATCATCTTTTAGGATCTGAAATAGCTCAGCTAGAAATCTATCACCTCCACTAGCTTTGTTTGTAGTGATGCTTCCTAAGCCCCACTTGACTTCACACTTCAGGATATCCTGCTCTAGGTGAGTGACCACACCACTGTGGTTATCCCGGTCATTAGCACCTTTTTTGTATGGTTCTTCTGTGTATTCTTGCCACCTCTTCTTAATCTCTTCTCTGTTAGGTCCTTAATGTTTCTGTCCATTATCATGCCTATCCTTGCATGAAATGTTCCCTTGGTTATCTTCAATTTTCTCGAAGAGATCTCCAGTCTTTCCCATTCTATTGTTTTCCTCTACTTCCGTGCATTGTTCATTGAAGAAGGCCTTCTTGTCTTTCCCTGCTATTCTCTGGAACCCTGCATTCAGTTGGGTGTACCTTTTCATTTCTCCCTTGCTTTTCGCTTCTCCCCTTTCCTTAGTTATTTGTAAAGCCTCCTCAGACAACCATTTACCTTCTTGCATTTCTTTTTCTTTGGGATGGTTTTGGTCACTGCCTCCTGTACAATGTTAACAATCCTCTGTCGTCCATAGTTCTTCTGGCATTCTGTCTACCAGGTTTAATCCCTTGAATCTATTCATCACTTGCACTGTAAAATCATAAGGGATTTGATTTAAATCATACCTGAATGGCCTGGTGGTTTTCCCTATTTTATTCAATTTAAGCCTGAATTTTGCAATAAGGAGCTCATGATCTGAGCTAGTCAGCTCCAGATCTTGTTTTTGCTGACTGTATACAGCTTCTCCACCTTTGGCTGAAAAGAATATAATCAATCTGATTTCGGTGTTGACCGTCTGACAATGTCCATGTGCAGAGTTGTCTCTTTGTGTTGCTGGAAAAGGGTGTTTGCTATAACTGGTGTGTTCTCTTGACAAAACTCTGTTAGCCTTTGCCCCACTTCATTTTGTACTCCAAGGCCAAATTTGCCTGTTACTCCAGGTATCTCTTGACTTGCTTTTGCATTCCAATACCCTGTGATGAAAAGGACATCTGTTTTTTTGCTGTTAGTTCTAGAAGGTCCTGTAGGTCTTTGGAGAACCGGTCAGTTTTAGCTTCTTCTGCATCAGGGGTTGGGGCACAGATTCAGATTACTGTGATGTTGAACGGTTTGCCTTGGACATGAACCAAGATCATACTGTCGTTTTTGAGAAGTGAACCCAGGCACTGAATTTCAAACTCAGGAAATATTTACTGAACACCAATCATATAGGTCCAGGCAGGAATCTACAGCAGTAAACAAACAAACAAAAGCCCTGGAATTTCCACATCAGGAAAGGTGGAGTAGATGTACTTTCCCCTGCTCCTGCCAGATGCAACTAAAAACCCTGGACATTAGATATAAAACAAAAAAAAGACTCTTTAAGGTAGAGACAAGGCAAGAGGCTGACTAGAAGCCTTTAGCAAGACTGACAGAGATTAAAAAAGAAATGAACAAGTTATCAACTTCAAGAATGAAACCGGAGATTAGCACAGAACCTGCACATATTAAACATGTAACGGAACTCACATAAACTATCACAGTTCACGCGCATCAAATAGATAACTTAATAAACAGTCCTGTAACTATCAAGATTTTTGAATTTGTAGTTTTTATATTCCAAATGGAAAATTTTACCAAACATTTAAACAATTAACACCCTGTGGCAAACATATGGATGCTTCTCAAAAAAATACCTAAGAACAGAACTACCATATGACACAGCAATTCCACTCCTGGGTATACATATCTGAAATAAAACAAAAACACTAATTCAAAAAAAATATATGCATTCCAATGTTTACAGCAGCATAATTTACAATTGCCAAGATATGGAAGCTACCTAAGAGTCTGTCAACAGATAAATGTATAAGGAGGGTGTGGTATATACATATACAAAGGCACGCTCTGCTGTGTGCTATGTGCTAAGTTGCTTTAGTCATGCTCAACTCTGTGCAACCCAATGGACTGTGGCTTGCCAGGCTCCTCTGTCCATGGGATTCTCCAGGCAAGAAAACTGAAGTGGGTTGCCATGCCCTCCTCCAGGGGATCTTCCCAACCCAGGGACTGAACCCATGTCTCTTGCATCTACCTGCATTGACAGGTGGGTTCTTTGCCAACAGCACCACCTGGGAAGTCCACAATGGCATGTTACTCACTCATAAAAAAAAAGAATGAAATTTTGCTATTTGCAAAAACATAGATGGACTAGTAAAATCAAAGACAAACAAATACTATATGATATCACTTATATGTATAATCTAAAAAATATAACTAATTAGTAAAAACAGCCAAAAAGAAACAGACTCATAGAGACAAAGAACAAATTAGTCGTTAGTAGTGGGAAGGAAGGTGGGAAGGAACAAACAAGAGTAGGAGGTTAAGAAGTACAAACTACTAAAGCAAACACCACACACATACTAAGAACTAACACCAATTCTAAACAATGTTTTCCATAAAACAGAAGGGGAGGAAGTAATTGCCAGTTCATTTTATGACGCTAGTATTATCCTGATACCAAAACCAGACAATAAGAGTACAAAAAAAAAAAAAAAAAAAAACTACAAAATATTCTTTAGAACAGAGATACAAAAATCCCAAACAATTTGTCACTAAGATTCAGCAATATATAAAATGAATTACATACCATGACCAAATAGTTTATTCCAAGGATGAAAATCTGTTTCAATATTCAAAAACCAGTCAATGTAATCTACCATATTTAACTGAGTAAAAGAAAAATCACATGGTCGTTATCAAGGGATGCTGAAAAAGCATTGACAAAACCCAATATCCAATCATGATAAAAAGCTCTCAAAATAAAGGGTACTTCCTTAATCAGATAAACAGCACCTAAAAAACTCAACAGTTAACATGACCACTTAATTATTATTAAAGTTCCCCCCCTAAGGCAGAAAAGTAGGATAAACAAAGCAAGTATGTCTGCTCTCACCCCTCTTATCTAACAGTTTGGAATATACAGTAAAGCAACAAAAGGAAAGAGGCTTACAGATTGGAAATGAGAAAAAGAAAACCATCCCTATTTGCAGATGACAACAGTCTACATAGAAAATCTATGGAATCTAACAAAACAACTCCTAGCACTAATAAAAGAGCTCAGTAAGGTACACAAACATCTAAAATTCAACTCTACATAGTAGCAATAAACACACTGAAATACAGCAAGATTTACAACTGCTCAAAAAATCATATACTTAGGTAAAAATTTAATAAAATATGTATAGTATCTATACTGAAAATTACACAGTGCTGATGAAAGAAATTAAAGATCTAAAAAAACTGACAGACATACCATATTCATGGATTGGAAGACTCAACATGGTAAAGTTGTCAATTCTCTTCAAAATGATAGAAGTTTAACGTAATTCCTATATGGCAACCTACTCCAGTATCCTCGCCTGGAGAATCCAATGGACAGAGGAACCTGGCAGGTTACAGTCCACACAGTCGAAAAGATTTGGACACAACTGAAGCAACTTAGCACACACACATGTACTAGTAAAATCTCAACAAGATTTCTGGTATATATAAATAGGATTATTCAAAAACTTATATGGAGAAGCAAACTAGAAAAAAGAAGCCAGGAGGAACCAGTATACCCAATTTCAGGACTCACTTTATACCTCTGATAATCAAGACTACACAGTATTGGCTGGAGGGACAAACACAAAGATCAAATAAAGAAACCAGGGAATTTCAGGTAGTCCAATGGTTAGGGCTCTGTGCTACTACTGCAGGGGTAGAGGTTCAATCCCTAGTTGGGAAACTAAGATCCCATAATCCATGCAGCATGGCCAAAAGAAAAAGTAAAAAGAGCCTAGAAATAAATCAACACAAATAAATATGTTCAATGAAATCTTGAAGAAAGTACAAAACAATTCAGGGAGGAAAAGACAGATAGAAAAAAGACAGAGGAAAAGGTACCAGTACAACTGGATATTCACAGGGAAAAAACATTAAAATCCTGACGTAAGTCACATACCTTATATAAAAATTAACTCAAAATGGAATACCAACTTAAGTACACAAAGCTATAACGTAGAGGGAGGAGGGGGAAAGGGATAAAACCTTGAGATGTGCTCAGCAAAGAGTTCTTAATTAAACCGAAGCACGATCCATACAAGAAAAAGGCATTCATAATCAACTGTGCTTCATCAAAATTGAAAACTTTTGTTCTGTTCAAGACTGTTCAGAGTCTGTTCTGAATCTTGACTGTATCAGTGTCAATACCCTGGATGTGATATTGTTAGTTTTGCAAGAGGTTACCACTGGGGTAAATTGTGTAAAAGGTGCATGGAATCTCTGTATTATTTCTCACAACTGTTTGTGAAGCTATAATTATCTCAAAATAAATATAATTAAAATACACACCTGTACATGTTTTAATTAAAACATTCTACAGGCATGTAAATTCAGATAATCAAAAAATACACACAGTGCCATGTACTGATAGACACTATAAGGAAGAATAAAGCAGGGGAGGGGAACAAGGACAGAAAGGGAGTTACGACGCTAAAGAGAGGTAATGGTCAACACCGGAATTCAGGTTACAAGCAAAAACTTCAAAATGCAGAAACGAAAAATCAACAGATGTTCTTCACAACATTCTCTCCCCATTCTAATCTAACTTACATACCATACACATACTTTAAGCAATTAGTTTAAAATATGGTACTCTTCTCAAATATTTTAAATATTTCTTTTGTCATTTAGGATATCAACTCCACTTCAGTGAAACATTCAAACAAGCTTTTCCAAGATGATTGCCATCATCTTTTTTTACAAGGTGACTAAAATACAGTGAATGTATGAAACTCAACTGCCCAGTCAATAGCCAGCATGCCAGAAGTGAGGGGGTCTTAAGCATACTGACTACTCCCCCCATCATATTAGTAATCACAATCTGCCTTGTATTCAAATTATTTTCACTAGACTCCTTCCCATCATTGAAATATAAAGTACTATGGAGGGAACCTATTAATGAGACGTCTATACAAAAGAAGAAAGCCTGTAGCACTGACTTTTGTTCTACTATTACACAAATTAACGTTAAATAATCACCATGCTTTTGTTCTGTGGTATTGAGGACCCTTGAGAGTCCCCTGGACTGCAAGGAGATCCAACCAGTCCATCCTAAAGGAAATCAGTCCTGAATATTCACTGGAAGGACTGATGCTGGGAAAGACTGAAGCCGGGAGGAGAAGGGGATGACAGAGGATAAGATGGTTGGATGGCATCACCAACTCAATGGACATGAGTATGAGCAAGCTCTGGGAGTTGGTGATGGACAGGGAAGCCTGGCATGCTGCAGTCCACAGGGTTGCAAAGAGTCGGACACGACTGAGTGACTGAATGACTGAATCACCATCTTAAGAGAATCTGGAGGTAATGGCATACTTCTTTACTTAGAGCAGAATGGAACAACCTACCTTGAATTTCTCCCTGAGGATCTTTGTAATACCACTTCTGCATTGCTTCGTGCATCAATGGAATTGAGACTCCCTTAGCTCTGTGTTCTTGCAGTTTTGATGCCAGTCTCTCATCATCTAGTGCACTGTCTTGGAGATAAGCCACCATTTTCTCAGCTTGCTAAAAGAAAAAATTAAATAATGAATTGTGGAAACAAATGATCCTAAATTAATACTTGTACACATAACTGTCAGTCTCTTTTGGACTACATGATCTATGAGAGGCACTCTGCAAAGGACACAGCATGCAACAATTTAATTCATCCAATAATGCCATGAAATAGGTACTATCCTCATTTCACAAAGGGGGAAATTTTGTGAACTAAGGCAGGTTCAGGGGTATCAAGTCTTGCTTAAGGTTTCAAAATTATCAAGCAAACTCAAATGAGACTAGAACTGGAACAGATCAAAGTCCAAGCATCTTATCAATACAATATTGTAAAGTAATTAGCCTCCAACTAATAAAAATAAATGGGAAATGGGGGAAAAAAAAAGAGTGCCATTTAAACAAATAGTCCTATATTATACAAACTAAATCTGTAAAAACATGTGTTAACAGATCAAAAAGCTCAATTATAATACAATTACAAATAAAATATTTTGCAAGTTTTTATTCCTTTCTGCAATACTTCCTGCCACCAACGACTGTACCCTGAAGGAAAAAGAATTTCCTCTGTAGAAAGCAAGCTATCATTTACCTTACATACAAGCAACAGTATATGAAAATGTTAGGGAACTCTAGAGACATAAATATGATGGTATTTCTGTTTTCCCTGTTACACTTTAGGCGAAAAATATAGAAGACACAGTGCCTATCCACAGCTGCTTGTATTTGCCATTTCTGGCATTCCATTAATTTCCAAAAGAAAAAAGAAAACAGCTCAGGGCAACCTCAGAAGAGCAAAAAATAATCGGACTTAATGACTACTACATAGCAGAAACTTAAAAGCATGAAATGATTTGAAAGACAATTACTCATACAAATAAATACTAGACATAAAAACAACTTTTTCAGTACACAAAATCTAGTGCACAAAAGTTCCATTTCTGAATATTCATTTAATGCTTTTCAATTTTTATGGCAGTTCGAGAGGAAAGAAAAAAGAAATATGTTGATTTGTACCTGCTCCAAGTGTTTGAGACCCTCTTCATCATCTGGCTCTGTGGAAACACTACCCATTCCAGGAGCACCTACAACTGGCGTCTCAACTGGCCGGAGGACAGGACTAGGATTGGGAACAGGAGGTGGGAGGATGAGGAGAGGAGAGGCTGTATCTGAAGGAATCTGTGACAGGGGCTGCTGGACATCAGGAACCATTTCTAGAGAGGAAAAAAAAATGTAGACAGATGAAAATCCTCTAAAATAGACTCTTAGAAAGAATAACTATCAAAAAGTTGAGCAGCTTGCTAACTGGGCTCAACAGATTTGTGAACCAATTCATGAACACTGCTGCTACTTCTTACGTAGAAGTGTGTATTCCTCCCCAGAAGGACGAAGTACCTCCATAGGGTGACAACAGATAAGATTAAAAGGTATCCAGAAAGGGCTTCTACAGTGCCATACTGTATCACTAGAGTATCTACCCAATAATTATAGGTCTAATCTCCTCAAATACACCATATCTCAGCATGTGAAAGTGAAAGTCGCTCAGTCGTGTCCAATTCTTAATGACCCTAGGGACTACACAGTCCCTGAATTCTCCAGGCCAGAATATTGGAGTGGGTAGCCTTTTCCTTCTCCAGGGGATCTTCCCAACCTAGGGATGGAAACCAGGTCTCCCACATTGCAGGCGGGTTCTTTACCAGCTGAGCTCCAAGGGAAGCATAAAAACCTTCACCTCAGCATAAAAACCTTTATTAAAAACATCTGCAGTTACTTTGAATAATTACCTATTTCAACTTATAATTGACATAATTCAATACAATACATTCTGCAGGGTAGCAACAAGTTCATTGGGTCTACCTGTACAGAGCAGGAGGCTCTTCACAATAAGAGTAAAGACTACAAAAGAGGTTCTGTCTTGGTTCCTATTTCTAACCTCAGTATTCAGGCTCTTGAGGAGGAAAGAGGGATGGAAGTAATTAGATACAATTGTAGCTTCCCCTTTGAAATCTTGTTTGTTCAATTACAGCAAGCTCCTCCAAATTCCCATTCCTCTACACCCTTTGCCAGACTTCTTAAAAGGACAGTGTGACATCTATACAACTTTCTCTACTTCATCACCACCCATACTAGCTATAAGGTAACTTCCACTTCCAACAACCCCAGTAAAGCTTCTTTCCCAAAGATAAGCATTCACCCAAAGTGCTCAAACACAATGGTTTTTCCTAGTCCCCATCACTTAACCTTAGATCAGACATTATCTTCCCAATTCTAAACTGGAACATTCTCCTTCCTTCCTTTTCCTGCACTCTTCTTCTTGCCTTGCCACGGTTTTTCTCTGGCTCCTCTATCTACCCTCTAAAAATAGGGATTACCCAGGTTCTGTTCTCAGTCCACTACTTCTCACTCCTAACAGTGTATGTAATCTTTTAAATGTTCATTCTCTCTGTGGCCCAGAACTCTTCCCATTGAGCTACAGTCCCCTCACTCTCAACTGCTCTCTGGCTATCTCTATCTAATTTCTCACCAACACTTCCTTGTTCATAATCTGAATTTGTTCTCTCCCCTCCCAAATGTGCTCCTCAAAACTTCCACTCTTTCTCTGTTAAGGATACCCTAAATCCTCTCACACACCGCATTCATCTTTGACTCTTCCTTCCCCTAATAAACAAGCAGTAACTATGTCCTGTCAACTTTTACTTTAAATCTCATCTGCCACTACTTCCCTTTATAAGTGCACTGCTCAGGACACCAACAGGTCACAGAGCAGCCCGTCTGTCAACACAATCTACTCTTCACACACACCTTTCAAATATATGATCCAACCATTTCCCACCAGCTTCCTTTCCACATCTCATACTTCATCTAAATAAAAACAGAAACTGATTTCCTGCCCATGCTTGGATCGGCCCCATTTCCTCGCTGTAGCTTTCACTGCAACCTACTACTGGAATGCCCTCTCCTAATTCATCCTGCTATACCTAACTCCAAATTCTACTTATTATTTTAAGACAAGTTCAAAGGCACTTGCTTCCTGATCATTCCAGGAGTGTGCCAATCATGAATTTGTATCATTTTTTTTGTCCTAGGTTACAGATATGCACATACTTTATTTCCCCTATAAATTGTTAAGTCCAGAGTTAAGTCCAATGCACATTTAAGCAGCTTTTCCAAAAGATACGTGTCTAGACCCTACCCTAAAACCTCCTAGAATAAGGCCGTAGATGTGGACATTTAAAAGTATGAACTACAAATAATCTGAGGGCACAGCATAGCTGAAAAATTACTACTACAAATGAAAGAGGTCTCAAAATGTACACGTCTCATGGTAACTGATAGATACAGTTGAGATTCAAATACTTGCTGAATTCATTCATCTAGCTTTGTTACAAACAAACAAACAAACAAAAAAAAAATGGAAGGAAAAAAATTCTTGGTTCAAGCTCTCAAAATAGCATTTACTGGGCAAGAAAAAGAACAGTTCTTCATAATGCTGTTTTTTAGAAACAGTGCTGGCTGTTTAAGGAGAAGACACCTAACCTAGCTTGGGACCTTGGAGTGGGAGAGTTTCAGCCCAGGAACAGCGTATGCTGAGGCACAAAGGCAAGAGAACAAGGCCTATTCCAGGACCTAGCAGGCTGTGAGGCAGACGAGCGGAGTGCAAAGTGCAGAGAGCTTAGTGCTGAAACTGCAGAGGCAGCGCAGGTGCCAGATCATGCAAGGCTCTCACAGGCCAAGGCAACAGGCGTGAATTTTCACGGTGAGAGTCAAAGTTGCTCAGTCGTGTCTGACCCTTTGCACCCACAGTCCATGGAATTCTCCAGGCGAGAATACTGGAGTGGGTAGTCTTTCCCTTCTGCAGGGGATCTTCCCAAACCAGGGATCAAACCCAGGTCTCCCTCATTGCAGGCGGATTCTTTACCAGCTGAGCCACAAAGGAAGGCCAAAAATACTAGAGTGGGTGGCCTGTCCCTTCTCCAGGGGATCTTCCCGACCCAGGAATTAAATCAGGGTCTCCTGCCTTGCAGGCAGATTTTTTACCAACTGAGCTATCAGGGAAGCTCTAATTTTCATTGTGAATAAATCAATTTACCTTTCAATATCAGGCATTACACTGCCATTTTTTAGTACATACAAGAAAAAACATGGAAATGAACATTAATACTGCCTGTTAAGGTGTATGAGCAACTTAAAATCAATACAGTAGCACTGGAAAAGGAGATATAACTTTAAGCTTATTCTCTAGTAAAGGTGATGGGTCTTCCTCAGAGTTATATTGGCCTCTTTGAAACAATGGCATTATGGTCTGTCATCTGGACACATACACAGCCACTACATAAAAGGAATCTGATATGGAAATCAAACTACTGCAGAGGATCCCAAATCCAGTTTGCTTGACTGGTACCAGGGTGGCTGTACCCCTAGGAAGTGATAGTACCTTGCTGCTTCTAATTCTGTTTTGAAGAATTCTGGGATAGATACACAGGGGAAGCAGTGTTTGAGTAGGCGGACTGGTAAAATGGGCTTCCCCTGTGACTCAGGGGTAAAGAATCTGCCTGCAAAGCAGGAGACGCAGGAGAGTCCCGTTTGATCCCTGGGTCAGGAAGATCCCCGGGAGTATGGCATGACAACCCACTGCAGTATTCTTGTCTGGAGAATCCCATGGACAAAGGAGCCTGGCAGGCTATAGTCCATAGGGTATCACAGAACTGGACACAACTGAAGTGACTGAGCACGTGCACACACAGGTAAAATAACCTATTCCAATAATTCGCCACTAGAAGCAGCTCAAGGAGGCATAAATGAAGCCTATCATATCATTTAATCACTGGTCCCAGCAAAATCCAAGTCTGGCTTGCTGACTCTCATAAATACATACCATCCCCCCTGCTGGATACTTTGGTTGATAGACTATTATCTGTCCGACTCTCTTCTTCAGCTTTTTCCATTTGCTCAGTTTTGGATTCCTCTTTCCTCTCAAACTGTGGTGCTTCCTGAGGCTGGTCTGAAGGAGAACCTGGTCTAGCAGATGAAGAGGAGGTCTGGGGTGTTTCTTCACTAGCTTCTGCAATAGGAAGCAATCTTAAATTAACAACTTAGGAAACTTAGCTTGATTAAAAATAAAGGGCAAAATGAGCCTTACCAACTCCTACTCTGTCTGTCTTCTCTGCCTCCTTCTTATTTGTCTTATCGGGTTCTTTGGCTTCTTCATTATGGCTGCCCTCAGAGTCGGAGCACTCCTCCCCTTCTTCTACAGGCCGGAAGTCCATCTCCTGCTCTTCTGGAATAGGCTCTTTCTGTACTTTCTGTAGGGAGAAAATAAAGCCATAGATGAACAGCATATTTGGATTTGGAAGAAGGTCAGTACCTGTGATAACATTTAAAATAAATTTCTTACCTTCAGAGACAGGAACGCTCCAGATGAGTCAAATGTGCCCATTTCCTCTTCCGCGTCCTCCAAGCACCATTCAGGCAAGCTATCCCTGTCGTCATCTATGCTTCCACTGCCGGAGCGCACCCTTCGGTAACCCCGTTCATCATCCCGGTCTCGAAAATCAAACTCAAACCTTCGCCGTCGTTCCATGTGTTCCCGCCAGCCTGCAGAACGAGGGCCATCTGGGATGAGGAGGAGGACACAAACCTTAGAGAAGTTTTGTGACAGTATTCGAAAGAGAAAACCATGGACAGGAAACAAAGGAGAAAATTACAACTGATAGCTAATGCAAATGGATCAACCTATAAAGAGAAAAGTAGGAAATGAAGCAAATGAAGTTCAAAGTTCACAATTATATTCTATGCACCGTCAGTAAGTAACAACAGTAGTTATCGTCATAAACTACTATCACAACATACTCTTAAGTTTTTAAAGATAAACTTTAAAAATTGAAAAAAAAAGATAAACTTAAACCACTTTTAAAGGACAGTTCTTCAAAGTATCTACTTTTAATAAGCTCTAGAACTGAATGTCTGACTGAAATGATGATCAGTCACTCATGTGGCCCACTCCTAGACTAGACTGAGGCACTGGATATCCTTCCATCCTGAGTCCATGCCCTCCCTTCGGCAAGTCTTAAAGCATTTTCTTTCTTCGGATGAAAATACCATTCTTTATGGATAAGACCAGCCCCCTTGATAATATAACAATATCCACAACATGATGCTGTCATGTCAATAATACCAGGCTCATCATCCCCACCTACTAGTGTCAGGATCCCATTGGTAATACCGATTCCTCCCCACTGCCCACAAGAGTCATGAAATTATAGCACTGACAGGTCATATCTGGCCCACTATCCCAATTATATAGTTTATGAAACAAAACCTCTGACAGCAGAAGTAACCTGCATAACAAAAGAACTGGAATCCAATCCTGCATCCTCTACTGCTTTTTCCACAGTAATAGGCTTGCTTTCCTTTCCCTTTTCTCTTAACTCTCTCTAGGGAGTTTTAATTTCCGTGGAATACCCCCAGGGACATTCCTAAATCCACCCTTGCATATTACTTAGAACATCTACTTCCCAACAGAAAACAACTGCCCAAGAAGAAAAGATCTAAGTAAAAAAACAAAACAAAACAAAAAACAGGTGGGGGGGCTGTCCTCTTGTTAATACTGACAAATCTGAATCTAAGAGAGTCTTAAAAAGAGATGCAAGTTTTATCCTATTATGATTTTATATCCTTGACTGCTCTCTCTGAGGGAGATATGCAAAAAAAAAAAAAAAAAATGAGGTCAAAGTTAAATGTTACTGTACTCTTGAGGCCCAATTTGCTAAAACCTGTGATCTAAAAATCAAACTGAAAACCAAAGGGCAAAACTGTTAAAACATCAAATACAGGTAGCATCTTATAAGCCTCTTAAAGTGAAAGGGTGACTCACTGAGGCATGTCTGACTCTTTGTGACCCCATGGACTGTAGCCCACCAGGCCCCTCTGTTTCATGGAATTCTCTAGGCAAGAACACTGGACTGGGTTGCCGTTTCCTTCTCCAGGGGATTTTCTGCACCCAGGAATTGAACCCAGGTCTTCTGCACTGCAGGCGGATTCTTTTTTTCACTGTCTGAGCCACCAGGTAAGTCTCATAAGTCACTTGCAAAAAGGGAAGAAAACTTTATTCTCCCATTTCCCACACTTTACTTACAACAAAACACAATTTATTGCCTCCTATGAAAATGAAGGAGTTTTATAACCAGATTGTCTAAATATAAACCTAGAGCCATTATCCCAAAGAAGTATTCATGATCAAAAGCTGAATTCCAGACTGCTCTATCTGCTGCTCTCATTTCTGAGTATGCACTGCGATAGGAATCTATCCTTCTAGGCATGTGGTTCATGTTTCCCTCTAAGTTTCCTAAGCTCACCTCCCAGAGCGGGTGCTCTGCTGTCCTTAGTGCTCCCAACTCCACATGTACCCAGCTGTGAGATGTACTTTAATAAAACTACACCCTATAATTGTTTTGCTGTCTTAAATAGTTAATAAAATTTTATTCATGAAACTAAATGTACCAGATAAGGCACATCTATAGCTTATTAAGACTGACCACTGCTTTATAGACCTTAATTCTGAACTAAATTATGATACTATTTTCTTAAGTCAAATCACTGTATTTAAAATTTTAATCAAATCAAATAAAAGATTAACTAAAATGTTAAGATAGTAACTAATAACAACTGATATAATCAGACTAATACGCTGGGTTTAAAAAATAGATTTTTGTAATGCATATTTACACTGTTCCCATATATATAAAGATATAAGTTCCCATATATCTTTATGTCCCTGTCTTTTTAAAATAAATGGATTAAAAAAACTGAAAAATTGCCGAGCTGATGACAAAACTGACGTGAAAGTCAAATTTCACTGGAAAGAAAGATTTACAAAAGATAGGGGGAAAAAAAAAGACAATATATATCCAAAATCTAAGCTCTTGGGTGAGGTGGTAAGTGGCAGAATATAACACTAATGTTTTACTTTTAACTCACTTTAATAGAATGAACATTAGACGTTCGGGCTCAGAAACACTGTTCATCTTCCAAAACATTCACCTTGTTTGTTTTTGATCAGCTGGAATTTTCTTCTCACTCAGCCCAGATCCCATTCATTCTTTCACTGAATGCTTGTTGGGAACATAGTCTATAAGCCCCTCTGCTTACAGGCAAGCTCAGCACAAAATTCCATAATGCCCTGAAGAGAACTGTAAGATCTGGTTGCCCAGGACAGAGACTGATAAGAACTGCCTACATAACTGTGATGCAAACAAAGCCCACTAATGACAGAAATCTCTCCCAAGAGGCAGCCAGTGAGGAGCTGAGGTAAAAGGATTATCACTCTATCCAGGCATCACCGACTCGATGGGCATGAGTTTGAGTAAACTCTGGGAGTTGGTGATGGACAGGGAGGCCTGGCATGCTGCGATTCATGGGGTCGCAAGAGTAGGACACGACTGAGAGACTTAATTGACTAACTGAATGATTAACTTCACTAAGTGTCCACCTATCCACACTCCATAAAGGACCCTAAAGGCCAGCTATAATGTTTACTCAGGCCAATGATTTGTTAATAACTTGATTCTTTTAAGTAAATGAAAACAGTTTACATTATTATCAGTTCAGTTCAGTCACTCAGTCATGTATACATGGACTGCAGCATGCCAGGCTTCCCTGTCCATCACCAACTCCTGGAGCTTACTCAGACTCACGTCCATCCAGTCGGTGATGCCATCTAACCCATCCAATCCTCTGTCGTCCACTTCTCCTCCTGCCTTCAATCTTTCCCAGCATTACATTATCATATCTTCCTCTATTAAAGTAAGCTTCCTTGGCATACAGTCAGTGCATAAAATGTTATGCATGTGAAATTCAAAAGACATGTACACACTCTTTGTATGCTTCAGTCCTGCACGACCCAAGATTCAAACTGCAGGGGAATCTGATGATCATGAGGCATGGAATCAGCACTTGGGCAGGGAACGAACTTTGACACAAAGCACCAGTGTCTTCAATTACCAGCATATCTAATGTCAGGAAGAACAGTTTGAAACCTTAAGAGTCAAACAGAAGAACTTACAAAACCACTAATCATGACTATTCTCTCTCCTTTTTCTAAAGTTAGAGGGACAAAAGGATAAACTTATGATTATGCTTCTGACCTAGGTTTAAAGTTTATTCTTCAAATAAGAAGAAATCACATTTTCAAGACAAAAAAGGAATAAATCCTTTCTTATGCAGGGGGAAAAAAAAAACTCACTTCAGGGAGAGTACTTATTCCTAAGTAAGCATAAAATTACCACATAAAAAAGCATGCTGAAAAAGATTCAGAGACTTAGAAAAACCAAATGAAATCTTCTCTCATTTTTACAATTAAGGGCAAGTGCTTCCCATTAAACCACACTGCCCCAGAAAAAGAAAAGTGAGTTTTTCTAATCAACTCAACAGGTGTGGGGAATTTTTATGTTAAATTTTTTTGTGGTAACAAGACTGAGTGTGACAACATAAATATGACTCCTCTCTTTTTTCTTTATCAGTTTAGGTTTTCCACTTTATTCTTAAGAATTCCTGCAAAATCCTCGCTTCCTTGGGTCCCCACGTGCTTCTGCTCAACAGGGTTCTTACCAGGGCTGTGGGGCCGCCACCTTTCTCCATCCCTTCTTGATCCAGCTAGTCGCCAGCCTCCATCTTCATCTTCTCCATTCTGTTCCTCTCTAAAAATACGCCAATTTTCACTCTCTGATCGTATAAATTCATGCTTTCTTCCCACTGACACTGGTCCGCCTTCCTCAAAATTTGGTCTCCCTGTAAAGAAATTGAGTAACCGTAAGCCTCAGCCAGCGAGGATTTTGAAAACAGACTTAATTGCTCAAATCAAGCTTTTCTGCAAATATATCCCTCTCAATGTTCAGGCAGTATAAATAAAATAACTGTGGATATATGAGTATATTATTAGACACATTTCTTAAAGCTGAATGTTCAAAGACTGAGCAATTATTTTTTCAAACACAACTAATATGTGCTTTTTTTTTTTTAAAGTCATGCAGTGAAAAGTAAATCAACTGTCCCCTACACAAGATCCCCCAAAGTAAAACCACCATCAACAGTTTCTTACAAAGCCTTTCAAAAACTGACCGTGGCTATACTTACGCATGTATACAGACTCCCCATTCACACTCCCACTCTCCCCTCAGACTGCTACACGGGCTGCTTTGTGCCCTTCTTGTTTTCACCTGGCAATCCTTCCTTACCAGCATATCCCTTTTTTTTCCTAGGTCATACAATTCTTTTAACTATCTGATTTAGTAAATCAACGTATTTAATATCAACTTCTACCAGTGATTCTGTCCAAAAGGGTATTGGTAAACTTCAACCTCTTTTATTCCAAACAGATTGTAAACTCAGAAATAGGAAGTATAAGCTACAACTTGTCATTTACTCTGGCACCCAGGACATTATAGGCATACAACAAATTGCTTTTGAACAAAATCCAAAGCTAAGTTATGTCTAACCGGATACAACTCAAGAGTTACATTAACAGTAAAAGAGAGACTGTTATACCTAAAAAACTAAATTGGTACTTTCAAAAGACCAGAGAAATCTAAACCATGCAAATTTGTTAGTCACTATACCACATGTGCTAACATATGTAATTCATAATGAACTATAGAAAATTTCACATTAAAGTATGTGGTTGAAAATCTAAAACATACACTGGAATTCTCAGTTTATAAAAGTTACATATTCTCTCAGTGATAATCTCAATTCTTTTCAATAAACTGTATTAAAGTGAAAAAAAATTGTATATTTGAAAATGAGGAAATTCTACTCCTCCTCTTACATTCCATTTCACATGTATTAAGAGTCCCTATCCTGTTTACCCAAACAGTTATTAGGTTATCATCAAGTATTGGGTTGGCCAAAAAGTTTGTTTGGGTTGTTCTATTACACAATAAAATATCTTGGAATTGGGGGGGGTACAATTATTTGCTGGGCAAAATCTTATTACTATAGGCAGCCTCTAAGACAACTGTCTCAACAATCCCTGCCTTCTGATCTCTGTGTGATTACCTGACCTTAAGTGTGGGCTGGACTTACTGACTCCCTCCTAACAAAGAGAACCCAGTAGACCTGATTAAGATGTCACTCTGACACTGAGTTAAAAACGTCCATCTTGGACGCTCTCTCTGAGGGAATCCAGCAGCCCTGCTGTGAGGCAGCCGTGTGAGAAGCCCACACGGCAGAGAACTAAGGCTTGCCAACAGCCTTGTAAGTGGCTGTGGAAGTGGATCCAACCCCAATCGAGCCCTGAAATGACTGCAACCGCACAGAAGACCCAGGCCAGACCTAAGCTAAGACACGGAGCTAAGCTGCTTCCTTCTTGGACCACAGAAACTGAGAGAATAAACGCTTGCTGTTTTCAGCCACTAAGTTTTGGAGTAACTTGTTACACGGCCATAGTTAACAAAAACACTCATTTAACCAATTTAATCTTCGTAACAATCCTCGGTATTAGAAATTATTTTTCCAATTTTACAGCTGAGAATATTTAGGGTCAAAAAGATAACCCATGGGAACTGTCCAAAATCACACACCACTGTTTAAATGACGTAACTACAATTCTCATGTTAATCTTCTGACTCAATTAACAAATATTTATTGCAAAGCAAGTACCAAGTTTAATGAATTTAACTATAGGTACATTCCACATCTGCCCTTGGGATAGAAAGGTTAGATGTTCCAAGCTCTCCTGCTCAAAGTAAGAAGGGACAAGACATTTAAAAAGCCCACATCTATTATATGACTTGATGAAAAATACAGCTATATATTCCGAAAAAAAATTTAAAACAAAGAAATCCCTAATGTGTATAAATTGGTAAGTGATAGGAAATAACTTTTAACCCATGTAATTTTTCAGTCTCAAGTAATACGTGCCAGGCACATTGGGAATACAAATACCTGATGGATGAGCTGATCAAAACACTCATTTCCATCTACTTTTACACTAAGGCTCTGAGAAGTAATGAAGGCACCAAAATAAGTACCCCCCCCAAAAAAACCACCCACTAATGACTATGCCAAAGCCTTTGACTGTGTGGATCACAATAACTGTGGAAAATTCTGAGAGATGGGAATACCAGACCACCTGACCTGTCTCTGGAGAAACCTGTATGCAGGTCAGGAAGCAACAGTTACAACTGGACATGGAACAACAGACTGGTTCCAAATAGGAAAAGGAGTAAGTCAAGGCTGTATATTGTCACCCTGCTTATTTAACTTATATGCAGAGTACATCATGAGAAATGCTGGGCTGGAGGAAGCACAAACTGGAATCAAGATTGCCGGGAGAAATATCAATAACCTCAGATATGCAGGGAGTTCCCTGGTGGCTCAGACGGTAAAGCGTCTGCCTACAACTCGGGAGACCCGGGTTCGATCCCTGGGTCGGGAAGATCCCCTGGAGAAGTAAAAGGCAACCCACTCCAGTACTCTTGCCTGGAAAATCCCATGGTCAGAGAAGCGTGATAGGCTACTGTCCATGGGGTTGCAAAGAGTCAGACACGACTGAGCCACTTCCCTTTCCTTTCCAGTACTCTTGCCTGGAAAATCCCATTGACAGAGGAGCATGGTAGGCTATACAGTCCATGGGGTTGCAAAGAGTTGGACATGACTGAGTGACTTCATTTCACTTCAGATATGCAGATGACACCACCCTTATGGCAGAAAGTGAAGAAGAACTAAAGAACCTCTTGACGAAAGTGAAAGAAGAGAGTGAAAAGAGTTGGCTTAAAGTTCAACATTCTGAAAACTAAGATCATGGCATCTGGTCCCATCACTTCATGGGAAACAGATGGGGAAACAGTGGCTGACTTTATTTTTCTGGGCTCCAAAATCACTGCAGATGGTGACTGCAGCCATGAAATTAAAAAGACACTCCTTGGAAGGGAAGTTATGACCAACCTAGACAGCATATTAAAAAGCAGAGACATTACTTTGTCAACAAAGGTCCGTCTAGTCAAGGCTATAGTTTTTTCCAGTAGTCAGGTATGGATGTGAGAGTTGGACTATAAAGAAAGCTGAGTGCCAAAGAATTGATGCTTTTGAACTGTGGTGTTGGAGAAGACCCTTGAGAGTCCCTTGGACTTCAAGGAGATCCAACCAGTCCATCCTAAAGGAGATCAGTCCTGGGTGTTCACTGGAAGGACTGATACTGAAGCTGAAACTCCAATACTTTGGCCACCTGATGCGAAGAGCTGACTCATTTGAAAAGACCCTGATGTTGGGAAAGATTGAGGGCAGGAGGACAAGGGGATGACGGAGGATGAGATGGTTGGATGGCATCACCGACACAACGGACATGGGTTTGGGTGTATTCCAGGAGTTGGTGATGGACAGGGAAGCCTGGCGTGCTGCGGTTCATGGGGTCGCAAAGAGTCGGACACGACTGAGTGACTGAACTGGACGGCAAAATGCTTAACTCATCAAAAACTGATTATAATTTTTTCTAACAGATGGTAAGTTGCAAAAAAAGTATTAAAGATACTAAAAATAAAAATACCAATTCATCAATCTTAGAAATAAAACTACGCACTTACAGCTAGCTTTTACATAACATTTTTAAAACATAGTTTCAATCAGTATACCCACTATTTCAAAATCTACTTTTCATTTAAACAGCAAATATTTCTCTGTGATTATGTATCTTTGTTGTTGTTCAGTTGCTAGGTCATGCCCAACTTATCTTAATAATAATATGAATAGATATATACTAGGTTTACCCTGCTGCTTTTGCAAACTGCTAGGTAATTCCCCACTGGACACTTACTTCATAACTAATTTATTGAGAACTAGATAACTTAGGAATAGATATCTGTGTGATATGTGTTTTGCTGTTCTGAACCACTTCTTCTGAAAAAAGCTTCAAAGAGCAAAATTACTAGGTCAAATGACAGACTTCATACCTTTTTCTCCTCCTCAAAAAAAGGTGCTTAGGTAAGACCACCAGATCACTTATGATTATCAAAGCTAAGCGCTGTTACCTCTTTGAAGCTTTTCTACGTTAATGGTTGTAACACAGTACACTAATGTGGCCCAAATATGAATTTCCAAATCAAAGATTTTTCATATTATTTGCTGTTTTCAGCAGCCTGAATTTACATAAACACTAGCCCATTCCAGTGAGGCGGGTACCTCGTGGTTTTGATTTGAATTTCTCTAACAATTAGAGACATTTAGCATCTTTCCATGTCCTACAAGCCGTTTCTATTTCTTCTTAGGAGAAATGTCCATTTAGATCTGCCCATTTTTCACTTAGGTTGTCTAGCTTTTGTTGCTGATTGTGTGAGCTGCTTGTATATTCTGGAAATTAAGTCCTTGTCACACTGTTTGTAAATATTTTCTCCCATTCTGTAGTGCATCTGGCTTCTTTCACTATACATTATAGGAAATTTACCCACATAGTTACAGAGAACATAAGCTTGTTCTTTTGCACTGTGATATGGGATCTCATTGTATGAACAGACAATTTATTACTCTACTACTGATTTTGGTTGATTCTATTTTTTTGCTATTATAAACTGTGCTGCGACAAACATTCTTGAATATGAAATTTGGTAAGCCTATGTTTGCATTTCTGTTGGTCTTCACCTAGGAGTGAAATTGCTGGCCATAAGGTATATTCAACTTAGTGCTAAGTACTACTGAGTATTTTCCCAAAGAAATAGTACTAAATAGTACTACTTTATCACTTTTTGTTTGTTTGTTTACTCAAACCTCTAGCACATTAAGATGAGGGCTTTCTCCAT